TTGTTTAAGTTTTTATTGATATAGATAGCTGAATTGATTTTTGTATAATATTTATTAATGTATTGTAAGACAGATATTTAAATTTTTATGTCGATAATACGAAGACATATTTTTTTCTACTGATTTCTTTTCAACATCGCTTTGATTTTTTTACCAATATACATAAGTCATTTGCTTTATTAATATTTAATAATGTGTAGTAATTAATTAATTAAGCGATTTAAACTGCAGGAAATTATTAAATTTGATAATTTATATAAGTATGCTAGGAGGAAACAACAGCGGTGCAAGCGTTATTCACTTGTCCGCCTTTTTAAAAATTAATTTGACTTTTTTTAAAAAAAACTTACCAACTATTAGTTTACCATTGCTCGTAGGAGTTAACACTATGGTTTGTAGGAGTCACACTATCTTTTGTAAGAGTTTACCATTCCCCGAAGTATTAACTATATTATTAAAAATAAAAAATATAGTTTTATTATTTAATTATTTTGGCTGTGTACGAGTTGATTCCCGGGCTATTAGAGGGTACGTACGAGTTAATTCCCTATTGTTGTATATCAATTATCAATAGATTGCACGAGTAAAGAGTTTACGACCGTAAAGAGTTCGACCGTCACACACAACTCGCTCTTATGTCCACCGAGACCACGCGTGAATTTACAAAAAAAAAATCATTACACGTCGCACGCGAATGCGTGTTGGTCGAACGCTTTATCAAAGATTATCGTCATTATTATAAAACAGTTGTTTCTATAGTGGGCACCCAAATATTTTTGTATTTATAAATGAGCTGTTAGAAGTACAATCAGAAACGTATATTAAATGCAGGAGTAATGGAACTAAGAAATCTAAAAAACAACAAAAAAAACAATTTTTTTTAAGAGAAGAGATGTCACGGTATACTGGTAATCTTATTATCAGATACCAATTTATAAAAACAATGTGTTACAAATTTTTACCAAATTACTAAATTTTTTTATATTTTTTTTCCTAGTTACTACTAAATGTTTTTAATAATAATAAATATAATATAATTCAATAAATAATTAATAAATAAAAATTGAATGATTTTCAAAATATGAAAAAACTAAAAAAAACAATATTTTTGAGAAACTTGTCGGCCAACCTCCTCGTGGTGTTTCTTTGGTTATGCTAATAGGCTGAATATTTTAATAAATATTGAATAAAATATATAATGACCTGGGAATCAACTCGTACGTACCTCTTAATGACCCGGGAATCAACTAATACATGAGAAAGGTCTCGGCAATCAACTCACCATAGTAGTTACCTTATACCTACAATTGTAAAATGTATGTACGTTTTATTACAATCCATAGATAATTTATAGAACTTCATAAACATAATATGGGCGTTGGTACTAGTCTTTTGATTTAGGGACCTTGTTAATTAAACACCTCAAAAATGCTTATTTTCGTAGGTTTTTATCACTAATCCCACCCAGTCTCTTGACTCTTTATATATATGTATCTAAAATTGTGTTGGGTCACTATAACGCGTTTGAATCTTGTGTATTAATCGGATTAAGTTTTTACAAAAGCTGTATACATCGTAGAAGCCATTATAAAATAAATTGTTCAATAGTACATCATCACTATTTATCTCTCTGAAGTCCAAATTATAATTAATGTGATGTATAGATCCACAATATATTTTAGGAACCTATTGATTTATACGAAAATACTTATATATTACACTATAAGCACTACTATTATATTATGTGAAATATATTATGCGTATACAAATTAATGTTAATATTTCATATGAAATCACGCCCTCAGTCAGACACGTCAATACTATGTACCTACTGACATCTGACTGGCCTACAAACACACAAAAAATATAAAAATTACATCACCCTCCAAATTTAAAAAGACGAATTTGCATGTAACCCAATGCCAGTAATTGGGTACTTTATTTAATAGTGTCAAAATGTAGCCTAACCCTACATAATATAATTTCTGTAATAAAATAACTAACCATATGCACGGTGCTTTTAAAATGTAATTTATATCAAACCTTGTACTTAAATTCGAATATTTTTTCAAGAATTTTAAAGTTGAAAAACCTCAATAATATACTTGTTTATTAGTCATACCTATAATCAATATCGACGAAAACTATAATTTATATAAATTTAACTTGGTCGTTTACTAAAATGCCAAAATCTATTAGATCACGTATTTTATAAAAAAAAAAAAAAATTATTCAAATTTCAATTAAAATAGGTATTATGTATTATTATAGACTTTAGGAAGTTGATTTGATACAATTTATTTATTAATCAATGATGGCCAAGTTAAACAGTTTTTACAACATAACAATGTTTATTTCATATGAATATCATTTCAGTCGTATAATAATCTTCGCGACCTCGCCCCGTAAAATAAGTTGTCATTTCAAATCTATTTGTTCTCCGTCTGATATTGAAACTTGAAGCATCCTCTTGTGCTCAATATATTGTTATTGCTGTTTTTGTAATTCAATATCGACGATGTTTTTTCGACACAGTAATTTCGTCGATACACAATGTTTAATATCTGAAGGACCCTTCAAATGTTTTTCAGTATAAAAACCTATTTGATATTGCATACAGTTTTGACATGTTTCGGCGGTAGCAAAAAACTCTGTACCTATGTAGAGTAAAATTTAATATACAAGTGAAAAATATTTTTTAAATTTTAAATAACCTACATAGTACCTACGTATTATATATATTTTTGTTGAAAGAGACAATATTGGTTTTATCAACTTAAACTTTCTTATAAAATATAGGTTCATTGCTCATATACCAACAAACTTACACTTTACAGTAAATGATGCGTAAATGAGAAAATCCAATTTGTACACAAAAATATTTGCACTGATATTATTGTTTTGCGAATAACCAAGGATACATGTCGTACACTCATACCAGAGATGTTTAATTGCTTATATAATATATTTAACGCTGATAAATATTGACTAAAAGAATAGATAAGTATATTACTGAACATTAATATGCAAAAAACAGCTAAAAATAATATAAGCTAAAATATTTTTAAGCTAATTACCTATAATAATGTATTTGAGGTTATTAAACCCAAGTTAAGAACCCTGAACCTAACAAACCGATATTATAATAGTACCTAAGTACTACTACAAATTCAAATATAATAACGAATAATTATAGAAAAAATCTGTTACACAATTGATTTGAAACACTTATCTTGTAATATTATTGTTATCATAGTTGTATGTAATAATTCAAAACCCTTTATTTTTTTCAAATAGGTATCTACTTGAAAACCGTTTATGCAATATTCAGATTAAAATATTTCGTTTGAATATGATTACCTATTGTATAATATTATTTAATTAGTTTTGAGGTAAGGCAATCGGTTTAATACACCTAATATTTACACAAATGCGTCATATAATATGTTAATCATTTAATATTTGCGATTAAGTTGAAAAGTATTTACAGAAGTGACTACAGCACGTACAGGGTAATTCCTTTAACGGTGAACATAATTATTTCGAAAATTATGGACGTTTTTTTTAACGATCAGAAGTCAAAATAATTTCCCTAGAATTTTTATGTACACAAATCGAATTTTTAACTAGTACCTACCTAGTTAATTTGTCAAAAATATTTGAATATTTTTTAGAAAGATCATAGACGAGGAAGTAGCACGTTAACATTTTACAAGGATGTAACACTCCACTACGCTCAACAAAACTTTAAGTTATAAAACGAACTAGGTAGGTACTCGTATACAATTCGATTTATATATAATATCACACTTTTTAATACAATATCAGAGTATGAAGCCATAAATAAAATTTGTCAATTTAAAAAACTAAAAAACTTATAAAATATAACAGTAATAAATACAGAATTTCTGTTTTGTAATGTTGAATGTTTAATACCTATTAAAATAATCACCCAGTATAATTATGTATAATATATTAACATGTTTATGTTAAAACTAACGTTACTTGTAAGTAAATGTGTACATATTATATTATCTAATATCTATACAGTATACTTGAATACTCGATTAGTTAAATCCCATAGAAATGTATAAGTGTATACGGTGTACTTCAATATTTTGTACGATAATGGCCTTCACTCAAAATAACAAATATATTTTATTATATTTATATCAAATTGTAAATTTTGAAAATAACGTAGATGGGTACATTTCAGCATTGGATTGTGTACATTCATAATACAAATCAATAACAATCAATATTACATTCGTGATAACAGATATCACATATTTAAAATATTATTGTATTTTTAATAGAAGGTATTTATAATGAGTAGGTACCTATAGGTAATTTATAAAATATATAAAGGCATTAAAAATATTAGTGCTAAGGCTACCTCGTTTTCAATCGAATATTATAATGAAAAACTTCAGCAATTTTTTAAAAATTGAAGAAATGTATGACGAAAAATTATAAAGATTATAGATTATTTATTATAGTATAAACCTACTTCAGTACACGACACATTAATAGCTATAAGAGTCAAAAAGTGTATGTCATATTTTATTCATATACTTATAGGCTATAGCCTATAGTAGTAGTAATACATGTGTATTGAAGATGAAAAAAATAGATTGTCATTAAAGCTGCGTATGAGACGTCGCTTTAATGAATAACAAAATTAACGTTTACTCCTTGGTTTTCAATTAAAATTGTTAAAAAAAAAGTGTAAAATCTTAGTCAATGTTGTCTCTACAAGTTTAAACCTTTTTAATTAACGCACAAGCTATAATTGCCAGAATTTATCTAACGAGAATTTATCGAGTATATTGACAAACATCATTACGATATTTTGTCATTAATACGAACTAATTGTGTTCAATTGCTTCGATGGTCTATGCATAGTGCATACGTATTATATTTATCACCATACACACATAATATTATAAAATGTTATATTATTTATAACTCCTACAATTTATTATTTGTTATATGTATAGGTTTGGATTTCTTGGACAATGGTTCAATTTTCGAGCACGCCATAACGTGCGCAGGTAATACATATTTTTTCCCCATTGCTCTTATGGTACCTGTGGGTACTTATATAAATTAAGTTATAAACGAAGATTTTTCGATTTTTTTTCATTCCAAATCTTGTCGACAATCTACGTTGTCGCACGATAGAATTTGGCCGATTCCACTACTTCTTGTTGGCGCTATGTGGTCTCATCTACATGAACTGCGCCATATCCGTGAGCGTCGTGTCTTTCGTCCTGCCTTCGGCACAATGCGATTTTCAACTGAGCTCGTCGGACAAAGGTCTGTTGAACGCCGTCCCGCTTTTGGGTAAGTATACAGAATAAAAACCAAATAGGAAACAATAATAACTAGGTAGTTGAAAAATTAAATTTTTTTGGTTTTCAACTTAACTAGTTAGTTACATTTCTAATTAACCTAATAGATAACTTAACCAATTAAAGTCTCAGCTATTATAATAACTATTATACCTATTTTCAGTTAATTTTAAAATGTATACATTAAGTTAAATGTAATTTGTACATATTTATAACTTTGATTAAAACTGATTAATAATTATTATTTTATTTGTATTACCTTTTACAATGAGAACATACAATGATTTAAAATTAAAATAAATAAATAATAATTAATTATAGTTCCTTGGTTTAATAATTTAGTTAAGACAAACTTCCAATCGCCTCGATCACTTCAACTAGATTAAGGATGTACATTGGAAACAAAATGTTTAGAATTAAAGTTTAAAAATCACCTATAGTAATATGGCTCATATAGTCATAACTCATAAGTCAAAGTATGACCCAGGCTATAATAAAAAAATACTAACTTACTACTTTTTAATTGAGTCAGTTTTTTTAGATTCTGAGCTGAGAGAAGGATCTAGTGGTTTTACAATGGTGTTTATTTTTTTATTTTATTTTTATCCTAAGTATAAAATTTCTACTAGAGGATTGCTTCGATTTCAACATACAGTATCTAATCTTTTAGCAAATTGGGTCAAGCTGGTACTCTAGAGAGATCGCTTTTCGATTTCCTCAATAGTTATTTAATGCCAATAGGAAAAACCACCGAAAAATTACAAAAAACCACTAAAATGGGATTTTAATTTCTAAAGCTTTGTAATGAAAATAAAAATAACGATTTTAGTTATTTTGTTGTAATTTATAATATTAATTCAACTTGCAGGCTATAATAAAACAAAATAACAATATAAAATATCTAGACTGTCAAACTGTCTCCGCTCAGAAACGTTTTTCGTATACAATGATATATTATAATATATAATATTAAATTCAAATTTAATACAATTCATTATACAGTTACCCTGTACCTACAGCAAAGCGACACCCACTTGCATACCTTTTTTTCCATATTATGTTTAATTTTTTAGAATTAATTACCTATACGGCTGAATATTGACTATTATTTTAACTTACAACTTAACAATCTTAACTACCACAAATTAATTTTCAATAATAGGTATTGCATAAAAAAAAACGTTCACTTTTTGTCGGTTATTTGTTATTATCTCTCAGTCTAGCTTTGTTATATATTATATAATTATGTTATTTACTTATAAAACTGCCACTTGGTATTAATAAATAAAATTAAAATTAACTCTTAGGATACTTACGTGTTATAATGTATGTGTACCTAAAATATAGGAATGCTCCTGGGAGCGTACTTTTGGGGCTGTCTGGCCGATATGCACGGTAGAAAGAAAGCTCTAATCGCAGCGCTACTCATGGATGGCCTTTTCAGCTTGCTTTCGAGCTTCCTCACATTCTTTTGGCCATTTTTGTTCTGTCGTTTCTTCAGTGGTTTTGGGTAAGTACAAAACAACATTACAACAATAGTACCTATATATATATATATATATATTAGTGATTTACCTATATACATTCCTACTATTGAGCATTTAAAATGTAATTTAAAGTACTATTACTAATAATATTAAAAATAACAATATTATACTTTAATTCTAAATTATAATATTATTAGAACTATTCTGATGTCTTTATTTATCTCCACTCAATTAAAATTATATGTAAATTACATTTTATACTTACAAAATAAATATTTACTTCGACAATTTCCGACCTTCAATGCTCGGTTACTTAGAAAATATATAGTAATATACCAAATATAGTCATTAGTCAACATTACATAGTACATAGGTATATGGACATATGGTATATTACTATACATTAGTACTATTATACTTTTGAAGAGTATGATTATCTTATATTGTAATCTACGTATGCTTTTATAATATTATGATTAATGGTTTATATTATATTCTAATGTGTAATTTATAACTACAATATTAAGTATTCATAGGGCTTAAAGTGGGACAACATTCCAGGAGGGCTACTGTCTCCATATAGTTTAAAGCGTTCCATATATAATTGTATTTGTAAGGTCTAATGTATATTTAATATATATATAAACAGTGATTGTGTAAGCGTACTCATCCCACTTTTAACCCAGAATAATGTTAATCCTAATTTGTTAAAATGGACGCTTTTAACCGACGTCAGTGGTAGGGGGACTGAGTCCTCCTTAGCCCCCCCACTTTAACCCCTCAGTATCCAACAGATCCAAATTAATTATAGTGACTTAATTTATTCTATAATATTCTATATTATATTAAAATGTGTAATACAGACTTTTTTTTAATAATTATTATTACACAAATCGCGTAACTTGTGACATATTTTTTTTTAGGCTTTCCGGATACTTGGGAATTTGTTTCTCGTATTTGGGCGAATTTCAGCCTAAAATCTATAGAGAAAAAGTGCTGTCGTGGCTGGAAATGTTTTGGACTGTCGGCGTCATACTGCTACCACGTATGTATTATATTATTATAATCAAAGAACATTTAGATGATATCTTAACAAGAAGGTAACTTGTTGGGTCCTATTATTTGTTTGTATTTTACAAAATAGATAGTAACTAATAACCATAATAATACAATGTAATAATAAAATACCTAACCACTGTTTATTGTGTCGCCTGAAGTGGTTGCTTGGGGCATCATCCCGATGACGGCCAACTACGCCATCGGCATACTCCGCTATTCGTCATGGAATCTGTTCCTCACGTTGTGCTCGTTACCCAGTATCCTGTTGGCCCTGTGGCTGACTAGGTTCCCGGAAAGTCCAAAGTTCCTGTTGGAGTGCGGTGAATTCGACGAGGCGCTCGAGTGTTTGAAACGGATTTACACGGAGAACACTGGTGAACCGGGAGAAGCATATCCCGTACGTTACACCACCTCATTAATATGACAGATAACTATGGACGAAGCCATGTCACTGACGTATAGTGATAGGCGTGGGTACCATTTGTCTACTAAACAACGTGTCTTTGCGAAATGCATGTGTGCATACGGGTCAGATCACTGCATTAGTGCATGGACAGCATGGTTGCACTTGAGGGTACACTGCATTCACGTCCAAGTGGAAGATTTCCTATAACTTGCTCAAACATAAACATTATGATTTATGAACCATTCAAATACTTTTTATTATTAGGAATGTTTGTCACGTCTACATTCATTTCTGTGAAGAATTTTTTCTCTTTCTATAGGTTAGTTACATGTTTCCAGATAAAAAACACAAGATACACGTTATTCAGGTACCTCGCCGGTACATGCAGTGTTAATGCTCTTGACTTAATTTGTTGCACCTCAAGTATTTCGTCAAAATAGCATGATTTCAAGGACTGGGTCTACTAAGCCTTTGTTCTGTAGTATTTAAACGCATATATATGGTCATTAGGATATTAAATTAAACAAATCCCGTACGTTTAAACTTCATATTGGTGTAAATAAATATTTAATTTCAAAACAATTTCTTGGGCCCTCCTTCCCGAGACACTCATAGAAAATTGGAGGGACCTTGGGTCTACTATGGTTCCAATTTCCGGGGCTTCGTCATCAAATCACTAATCAAATTTAAATGGCTCCGTCCATTTTTGATATTTTCCCACTAACCCAATGGTGATTTTTACACTCATGTTTTAGGTGCGAAGTCTCATTGAGAACGAGGTCCGATGCAGTGTGATCAGCATACAGTCAAAGCGTTCGTTACGGAGCATGAAGACAGTAAAGACGCCAAAGGACCTCAAGAATCTGCTGAATGAGGTGTGGTACCAGACTAAAGAGATGTTCAAACCACCACACCTGAAGAACACGTTACTCACGTGTCTCATACAGTTCGGACTGACGTCCAGGTAAGCTGCACTCGTAACGATACTCAAACACTTAACCTAAATATGACTCGATTGTAGTTATGCCATATAATACAATATAGATATCACTTGGTAAATTATAGGGTGCAAAATACATTTTATTTTATTTCGTTTATTCTTTCGAGTTTAAGTGTTAATTAACATTGTGCGCATTTTAATACATCATATGGTTGTATCAATATGACAATATATGTAGATACATCATACATTCTTATCGAAAATCAAAAATGTTTATATATAAACAAAATTATAATTTATAATTGATGAACGATTTGGTAATTTAAATAACAATTAAATGATTAACTGCAGTCAAATCTTTGTATAGTAGGTAAACAGCTAGGTTGGAATAGATAATTTGGAAGAATTTTAAAAAATTTGTATATTATTGTTTCTGGTTGATTTTATTATATTATGTTAAATTAGAAAATTACAAAAAACGGTTTAAAACTTAGTTGATAAAGTAACGCCTATATATGCATATATTTTGACATTTAGAATTGTAGGAAATATTTTTAATTATATTCTTCGATGTTTTTATGCTTAATTTTATACTCTTAATTGGAAATCTCGTAATTTAGCATTATATTTTTAGTATTCAAAGTCAACAATTATTTCATTAACTTGTTAGTTTGTGATATAGGTAGTCGATCAAGAAGAAATATTTATGATCAATATATATATATTTTCTAGGTTATTTAGATTACGTTTGACTGTATTTATCTAGGTACCTACTAATTCAATGCGGGTAGAAGTGGCCACTTTTTATTTTTGAAATGTATATCTGATAGTCCTTTTAGTACACGAAAGTCTTTGCTCCACAAATTCTAAACCTGCACTATAGCTGATGTATAGTATTAGTTACGTCTCGGTGTCTTAATAATGTCTTATCGTTGCAGTTACTACACGCTGATGATGTGGTTCCCGGAGCTGTTCAACCGGTTCGAGACATTCGAACGCCAGCAGCCCGGCGTGGACGTGTCCGTGTGCCAAGTGTCGTCCGTGTACATAGAACACGACGGAGCACTGAACACGGTAGACTTGTGCGGGTCGGCGGTTGGCGAATCCGTATACACCCACACCCTGTGGATCGGCATAGCGTGCATACCCACGTCACTGTGGATGCCTCTCTGCGTGCACCGGCTTGGCGCCAAGTTTTTCTTAGGTAATATTACAACACTATACTCAACTCACTATATGCATGCTCAAAGATACCAGGGCCTTTTTTTGAATTTCACTCTTTTTGAACAATATAGGTACTTTAAGTAAGGAAAATAAATTATAAACTTATTCGGCCTTTTTTATGTAAATAAATTTCACAAATATTGTAATTTGTTATTAATTAAAATAATACAGATACTGTTGAACATCAGTCAGTATTAATTTTAAGTAAGTACCTACACTGTACAGTGTACATGCTTAATAATGTTGCAGGTAATATTTTATTACGTATAGGTACAGACGTACAGTTCAATTCTCAATGAATTACACAAAATACACACACACACACCCACACAAATAGGAACTAAATTATAGTAATACAGATATCTATCTACCTACTTAAACATTACGACTTAAGTTTATTTATAGTTCCAACAAATTCATGATTTTTAAATAGTTTTCGGAAAAAAATATATAATTAGTTCGTGGATGGGCGGAAACAATGTCATACACTATTAGACTGATATAAATAAAAAATAATTGAAAAAATCTAAAACTTATATAAATAAAAATGATTGAAAAAATCTAAAAAAACCTTAGGAAAATGTGTTTCTATCTGCTACAGCTTTAATTTATTTAAATGTTCTAAGGCCTAAATTTCTACGATATTTTAAGATTATTAAGAGTATAGTACCTACGTAAAAAAATGTATAAACACTTTAAAGAATTTCTATTTATAGGAATATTTAAAAAAAATAACCAAAACATTTTGAATAGTGGCTACTTTACAAATTAATATTAGTTACATTTATTTTTACTGTAACATTAATAATATTAAAACATTATTATGTGGAAAATAATACAACAAGTCATCGGCTCTAACGATAAAAATTTCATATTAATACATATTTTTATTTATATATTTTTTTAATATTTGTAGACTAATAATTATAAAATTATTTCGAAATAGAAATTTCAACCAGAGTTGTATTATACTTGCACTTGACTGTACGAGCATTATAGACTAATTATTGTTCGACTAAAACTACACACACAAACACAAAATGCAGTCAGGATACTGGTAGTATATTATGAAGGATATTTTTTAATTTCCGGTCTTCCCCGGATGGCTGGATTCAAATACGAAATAACGTATAACTTCGGTTGCTGTATGATATTATATATAATTTATATTATAGAACTACGCGAATACTGGTAGATGAAATAATCGAATACCGTCGTGGGCAATTTCTTGATCCCGTCATTCGACAAATCACTTTAATAATTAATACTCGTTTTGCAAATTCAGTTACCGGTAGGCCCGGAAAAAAATGAATTTGAGAGGGTAAAATGTTAACTGCTTATTCGAGTTCTGTGTACTTGCGTACTACTTTTCCAACGAGCCAGATACGGAGCAGTATAGTAGAGAGATTTATTTAATTTAGATAGTTTCCATTCATTGAAATAAAAGTTTAAAACACAAATTCAAATGTAATGGTACCTATAGTAGCTATAGTGTGACGTGGATGCGCTATCGTGCTGGTACATCTTGATGCTGTACAACGAACACCCTCAGTGGCGTATTTACAGTGGGGGTAGGTGTCCAAAGGGTTCGGACCCCCCCCCTCATGGATAGTTAACTCGGAATCAATAGCATTACATAACACCATAAACTCGCCCCATTTAACTTGCAGATAAATAATGTAATATTTTGGTCGGATGTATTATTCTAATTTAACACAATAATTTGATTTTAAAGTATAGATAAATTGTTCATACATTATTCAATCGTTAGTTTATCGTAACTTTACACCATAAGCAGTCACACCGACCAAAAAACTTACGCGAAGGGGAAGATGAATGACATTTAGAACGGTTGGCACTTTAATTTTATAAAATGGGTAAACATAATATATTATATTGGAATCGGTCAGATAATATTTTGGGTGGAGCAATAATGAAAATTACAATAACAATAATAATATCGTAAACTGTCCAATTTATAGTGATGTGCTTATTCGTGTCCGGAATTGTGGCCGCCGCTCTGTACTTCGTGAAAAACTCTCTGCAAAACCTCATACTGTCGTGCCTGTTCGAAGCATTCAGCGGACTTGGAATCAGCGTATTGCTGTGCATCATGGTCGATCTGTTCCCCACCAACATGAGGTAAGACCACGAATATTAAGATATACCTAAGTCATAAATTCATATGGTTAAGACCCACCCCACGGCTCCAACCATATGGTTATAATATTATATTACACGAAGGAAATTATATATATTTATCTATTTATATTATATCTTACTAGAGGATAACCACCCCCAAATTTTCAGAAAGATTTCATTTTTATGAGATGTATTTTTTTGGCTACCTACGACACAATTGAGCATAAAACCCATTTTTGAGCCACGATTGATTAAATTTGTCAGTGTTTCAAAGGATATAGAAATACAAAATAAAACCTACATGCTTAAGCATACAAAACTCCGCAACGTTGCCATTTTCAATTTTGAACTATATTATACAACAAATATTTATTTAAATAATTATAATAATTCAAAATACGGTACGACTTAAAAAAATATCATGATGTGACAACGGCGTATAAAATATTCTATGCTCTGAAATCATGTTGCTAAAACGGTATAATATGCTCAATCGTACTTTGCCGATTTATTTGGTCAATAATAACCACCAATAAGTCCCCCACTCCCCAAAATTAAGTTCTAAGTACGCAACTGTCGCAAAGGTCACTGTTTGTTGAAAACTATAGCTCCCTCCATATATTCTATCAAAACTCCACCAGTGTACATTTACCTGTGATGGGCTATATGTAACAATCGAATGATTAATTCATATAAAACCATACCCGAGTAACCTAACCTAACCTTAATAATATACGATTTGGTGTACGTGTAGAGTAATGGCAGCCGCGGCTTCAGCGACGTTCGGTCGCCTGGGATCACTGATGGCCAACATCACATTCGGACTGCTCATCGACTCACATTGCATCCTGCTAATCATCATATTCAGCTCGTTGTTGATAAGTACGTATTTATGATTAAATACTTAGATATAGAATATTTGGAGCTATAGGTATGAGTTTTTCTTTCAAAAATTCTAATTACTTCCAATTTTTTACTTTCAATTTAACACAAATAATTTGTACATTTCTGGTTTGATTATGTATGTTAGTTGATAGAATAATAAAACAACTTGAAAAAAAATGTCTATAAAAAGTTGAAAAGTTTTGAAGATATACATCATCAATTATGGGTTTATGAACAAACGAATTTGAGGACCGCTGCAGTTTTATAGAATATAATAGAAAAAAAATCAAAAACCCTACAGGATTGAGTGGTCCACTTCCAAGTTTGTGATTCAATACCTTATGTCCTTATCTCTTCCCCGATTCCTAAATATGCCACTGATTTATGTAAAAAAAATAGTCATTATTGTTGAGGATAAAATTTATGACCTCGGAAGTGCGTAACAAATAACATCAAACTTTGTATTTGGGTTTCAAGTTCGTATAAGATGTTTATCTTAAAATCGACGGGAATTTTGCATTTTAGCTTCTATCGTCTAAGATAAAATACCATCTGTCCCAGTATAGTTATTTAATTTTTTTTTTCCGCAGTAAGCGGTCTGCTCTCTTTGGCTCTCCCAAACGGCAACGATAAAGACTTAGACTAGCGGTGGATTACCGCTAACCACTCCATCGGATATACATATACGGTGATGTGCACAAAAAAAGTAAGTACGATGGGTATATATATTAATAGAAATATTCCTATTTCAGACCACATAGCCCGTGGTGGGTTAAATGGGTTAGTCCCCCCTCCCAGTGACGGTCTGGCCACTAAATAGGGCTCAGGCAGGATTTTTGTTTAGGGGTCCAACCTACCTTGTGTTGTTATCAAATTATGTGCATGAAATTTCAAGTATAAACATATTTTCGTACTTAATTTATTTGAAATTAATTCAAATCTTTATTTAATTTAAAATGATTTAAAAACTATGACTTTTTAAATATTATCTTTTAAATGCATTTATTTTCAAAATATCCCTGGATAGACATCTCTGGTTTATTTAAAAAAAAAAATCATTAATTTTTTAGTTGGATCCTTTTTATACAAATATTAAATTTCCTCATCGTTATTTTTATTTAAAATTTGATTTTTGACCGTTGTAATCATTGACAAAGCGTGCATATAATTAAGTAACTTAGTTTGAAGATAAACTGAGTGGGGTGTAGTCGTGTAGATATAGAAAATATATCAAAATGTTTGAAGCCATAAAAATAGTTTCAATATTTGACCATTTTTCAAATAAAATGTTAGCCATGCGTGCACAAACTTGGTGGTTGTTACATTTTCCTCTTATAATCTCAATTAGATAGGTAACAAAGTAACTGGTCAATTACAAAATGGTATTATTTTCTAAAATTGAAAATGTGTGACTAGTAATTTATAGTAATACGGGTCAATGCGCGTGATGTGTAAGCACACCATATTTTTCCAAACTTCGGATATTTCTATCTTCTATGTCATCTTATACTATCGTATGTTTGGAAAAATACATGCATTCTTTGTTGGTCTGTTGCCTATTTATTACTAATAATTTAGATATAATTTAATTCATTTGTATTTTAGTGCTTATATTTTATATTGTCAAATTATTTATCGAGACTTAATGTATTTTGGTTAGGGACCCGGCAAGGATCGCTTTCTAGCTACGTCGTCTTGACCAGGCTGACACTGGTCCCCCCCCCCCACCCCAATCAAATCATTCGTGCAGTTTTGTTGATAAATTATTACCTATGTTTAGGGATAAAACTGTAACTTAGGCTTTTTATCTTTATAGGTATACAGATATTGCTTTAAACTGCTGTTGAATCAACGCTGAACCATGTCCGTCGTGAGTGCACTAAATAATTGTTCTTCTGGATACAAAATATTTATTTTTGGAAAAAAAATTATTTGTAAGTTTATAACTTAATTATAATGTGACAACTTTTTTTTTTTTTGTAAATAAATAAGTGTATCCGTTTAATTTTAATTTTTAAGTATCTACCATATACGAATTTTTCATTCATTTTTTTTTTATTATATTATTATAAGATAATAAATCAAATAATATTTTAAGCATAAGTTATAATACGCACAACGTCTTTGTAATTTGTATTAAAATATTATGTTTTATTTATAGTTACGTAATGTTACCTTATTTTTATTCCGTTTTACCTATACATAACATACTATGCCCCGTTGTAATTATTATTATCATAACAGTCTTTGATTGTAATTTATAATATTAAACTCTATATATAAATATATATATATATATATATATATAATTAAGTAAAAATGTGTTCATATATTTTATTACTATTTTATTAATACCACTATTCGAAGTATTGGCCGGTTTCATTGATTCATAAAAAGTCGTCCTCTAGCATGCAAAGATAATTCAGGGAAACACTTTATCCTAACCAACGTGTCAGCGTAAAGGCCATAAGGTAAATAGGTATTATCAGAGCTTGAAACTAGTGATGATCAAAACAAGACCAAGACTTTCAAAATATTGGTCCTGGTCTTGCAGACTCAGTCTTGGTCTTGCATTCAGTAGGTACTGGTCTTGGTCTTGCAGCAAGTCTTGCGATACCGCAAGACCAATTTTGATCATCACTACTTGAAACCGATATTGAATACCGGTTACACAGTTAAAAACCAAAATCAATACCGAAAGCGAAAACAAAATCGAAAAAAATCAATACCGGTAATCAAAATTGAAATAAATATAAAACCTGGTATTCAAAACCAGAAACGAAATCAGAAAAAATAAATACCGATATCCGAAACCGAAATCAAAATCGGAAAAAATAAATACCGATATCCGAAACCAAAATCGAAATCGGAAAAATATTTACGGTTTCAAGCCCTGGGTAATATATATTTTTTTAACTTTTTCTAATTTGGGGCCAGAAGTACATAGTAAGTACATTGAACATTGTAACATTTTACATTATCATGCAGAAAAATTTGTGTATAAATCGATTTATGTACCTATTATAAAAAATAATGTATAGTATGCACAAATACAGACTAGGTTGGGCATTAACGAATAACGAGTTAAAAAGTTTAAGTTAAGTGACTTTTAAGTATTAACTAAGTTAAATAACAAGTTACTTTTTTTTTTAAAGTAACTTCTAACTTAAAGAGTTACATCTTTTTCAATGTTATTCAGTAACTTTTGATTTAATTTATTTTATTGTCACGTTAAATTATTTTATTCCCAAACTCCATATTAAAAATTAATTTTATAAAAAATGTGGGCAAGTGGGTGTTGCTCTGCTGTACAGAACGTTACAGGTGGGTCACTGTAATGGATGGTGTTAAATTTGAATTTGCAATGATATAATATCATTTTATAAGAAAAACGAATCTGAACGAAAACGGTCAGTCAACCTATGATACTACTAACCACTAAGTACCTATACTTGATGATATTATTGTGAATAAAGTAATTTATATATAACAACCTACCTATTTCCATGGAACTTTGTTGTAAATTTTCAATCATAAGCTATAAAAGTTGAATTTTTTATACATTTTTAACTACAAAATAATTATTAGATTTTAAGTTTGATCAAATTTGTCAAAATTTGAACTTTAAATGCTTATAAAAAAAAAAATTGTGCCCTATGTATTTTTAATATTTTTCAACTGATATTGTAACAATATGTCAGGAGCCTTGCATTAAATTTTCACGCTTTTTAACCCAACAAATGAAATTTTATTGATATTTACATAAAAAAAAACTACACAAACTGAACACTGACAAATTTCAAAATATTTTAGAAATTTTATGGTGTATAGAAAATGAAAATATAAACATTCAGTAAAATTGTCATGCATCTACAATTGTTCGTTTTTGAATAACAATAAAATAAGAAAACTGTCACATGAGATATCGAGTGAATATCCAATATAGTAAAAATATGAACTTCAAACGCTCATAAAAATTTAATTTGATTTGCTTAGAGACATTTTTTTTTTTTTTTTGATAAAGGTAGACAAACTTATTAATAATCTTGTATTCCATTTTCAAATCTTAGATTTAAAAAGGAAAATTTTTAATGTATTCTCAACTCAAAATAATTTACTAATTTTCGTGATATTTCCTTATTTTTTCAAGATTTGAACTTTAAATGATTATAAAAAAAAACTGTGACTAACGGATTTAAAATATTTTTCAAATGCCATTGTAACAATATAGTAGGAGCCTTGTATGAAATTTTCAAGCATTTTTACTCAACAAATAAAATTTAATTGACATTCATAGAAAAAAAACTAATAAAATTGGAAACTGAAAATATTATCATGTATAGAAACTGCAAATATAAACAACCAGTGGAAATGCCATGTGTATACGTTAATTTGTTTTAAAGTTACACAAAAAACCAAAATCGATTTTGCTTAAAAATTCCAGTTATTCCTTAATTTTTATGTTGTTTTTAAAGGAGCTTTTGAATTCTATTGAGAATTTTAAAATTTGACCTTCCCAATGCACCAACAATATTCACATTCCCATTGAACAAGATACTGAAGTTGAAAATTGAAGCAAAAAAAAAAAAACATCATGGTAAAATATTAACACATTCATCGCTCCATTCAGTATCTAAAAAAAATAATAATAACCCGACATGTACGGCCCATAATCAGCAGACAACAAAGTTTGAAATTCTCTTGCACAGACTGTATGTCTGTATGTACTGCATGTTACATATAGATTTTAATAGTGGACCGTGGGGCGTGGACATAGACTGATAGGTAAACAAATAGTCTGTAGACTGTGTCACATGTGGTCAAAGATTATTTTTCCCAATCTTGATTTTAAGTTGCTTTCTGTTGAGCTGTGAACTGTGTAGAGTGTAACCAATTAATTATATTCTAATAATGAATTTGATTATTATAATATTTAGTATACCTAGTTGTAGACTATTATGTAAGCAAATACATAAAATTATTTAATTATTTTGTTGTTTAAGTTAATGTATAATATATAAGTACCTACAGTTACTAATTTTAATACATACATTAATTTAAAAATTATAAGACATTTATTGAATGTCTATGTTATTTGTTACCTTTAAAAAAAAGATACCTAGGTATAATTATTAATTTTGTATGACAAAAAAAAGTAACTGATCTTCAACTAAGTTAAGTTACTTTTATTTTCTAATAAACTTGTAACTTTTACAATGCACGATTAAAAATGTATACTAGTAACTCGTATGCAACATGAAAATCAATAAAAAGTAAAAACGAATAGGTAATTAATTATCATGATACAAAAGTTATTACCTATTTATGCAATGTTTATTTTTTGAGGGTTCATCGTTAGATAGCCAATCTAAAACTAAAATCTTAAGTTTGATTACATTTTTCCACCGAGAAAATATTTACCTATGTATAGTATATTAGTATATTCTGATAATTTTGTAATTGTATAGGGCATACACGTCATATTCATAAAATTAAATATTCTTTAAGGCTGGATCTTACTATAGTGTTCATTACTTCTATGAACAAATGTAAACTAGAACTAGAAGTGAGTATTTCTGTTTAAGTATATACAGTATATATGTGTATATTTTTTTACAATCTATGGAATAATATATAAGTGTAATAAGCACGTTGCGTAATATATAATATGTATAGTATTTTATACCTTATCAATTTAATTTCAGATACATTGTATCAATCTTTTACTTTGTGCATATTTTGTTGAATTTTTATTGATTTTTTTACACAAAAATGTTGAAATTATATAACATTAAATAATAAAAAAAAACATAAAATTGTTTGAAAAACCAAAAAATTAACTTAAATTATGTATAAAAGTAAATAAAAAAGAAATTGAAAATTTATTTTAAATTAAAAAAAAGAATTAATGTCCAATCTAGATTGTTAGTTCTGACACTGACTATTATCAGACAAAATGTTTTTATACATTGAAAACGAACGCTCCACATCTATTTAAGTGATAGGTGCATACAAGCTGTTTTGTTTAAATGAAACCCATGATAATCAATATTTGATGAAAAACCAAACAGTTATGTCTTGTAATTGTTTCCAGTCTTTGTTTTTTGAAAGAATCCAATTAAATTTACAGTTGCATATCTCCATTTTTCTTCTTCTGGCTTTTATTACTCTCCAAAGAGTTTTTGCCGCCATCACTAAATTATTCCACCTTTCTCGATCCTGTACTATCTCCCTCAAATTCCGTGCTCCAAGGTCTTCCGAATTTTTTTCTACTGCATCAATTCACCTCTTCCGAGGGCAACCCAGTAGGATTTTTCCTTCCGGCTTCCAATCCAATACTACTTTGGTTGCTGCCTCAGCATTACGCCTCATTATATGACCTAACCATTGTATCCTCTGACTTTTTATGAATCTATTAACTGTTATAATTTTTAGTTGTTCTTTCAGTTCTTGGTTGGTTGAACTTCTTATGCCATTGGCCGTAACTGGCCAAAAATTCTTTTCCAAATTTTATTTTCTAATAGTTTTATGTTATAAAGACTATTTCCATAGATGCTTTTGTAGGCTTTCCTAAAGTCAACAAACATTTGCCACATGTGCTGGCAGTACTCATATTATTTTCTATTATACATGCTATTACTGATAATTTTTCTATGGTTGATCTACCTTTGAGGAATCCACCCTGGTATTTACCCAAGCATTCTTCTGCAACCATTGGACGGTTTAATTAGACTTAAGAGAATACCTAATATACTGAATTTAGAAGGGATATCCCTCTATAATCGCTAAATTCAGTTTCATTACCCTTCTTATGGAGTGGTATAATTATTGCTTTATTTCAGTTGTCTGGGATTTTTTTCTCCAGCCATACCCTATGACATATCTTGAAAATAAAGCTATACACGTCATCTTCTCCATCATATTTTATAAGTGCCGATAGTATGCTGTCGAACCCGATGCCTTCCAATTTGTAAAGTTCCTTATTTCTTTCCTGACTTCATCTCTGGATATTTCTTAAATACTTTCTAAATATTTGCATTTTCCATAGCGTTTGGAAGTATAGTGCCATTCGATAGATCAGCAAAGTATTCTCATCAGTCACCATCTGTTATTTTATTTTCTGGCTCCATAAGTTCAGTTGTTCCCTCGCTGTTCTTTACGGCTTTTAGGATTGGGTTGAATGATCTGCACTTTTTGATGATTCTGAAGACATTTCTAATGCTACCTTGCGATCTATCCTTTTCTGTTTCTGGCAATATTCCATTTAGAAAAATTATTTTCTCTATGCAACACACGTTTAGTTTTTAGTTGTTTTTCATGTTTTTCTATCAATTTGATCCCTTGATCTATTATTTTCTCTCATGTGCTGCTTCTTGATTGCTCTACAGCAGATCTCGTTAAACCACGTATTCTTTTTGTTTTCCATGTTTGTCTTTTCCTATATTTTGTCGCACTGCTTCTTTAATAACCTTCGTGGCTTGGTTCCATTCTGAGTTACATCTAGTCACAAGTAGTTTCTTAACTGCTAATTTTATTTGCGTATTTTTTCGAATGTCTATATCCTTTAAAGATCCTAAATTGACACTAAATTGTTTCCCTCTTTATTTTTATATTTCTTATTAATTAAATTTAAAAAGCAATGAAAAAAAAAAATTGGTTCATCAGAATGACATAAAACAAATTTATATATGAAAATTAGATTTCTCTCACATTTAAAAATAAGAAGCATATTCTTCAAAATTCGAGCCCTATTGATAAGTAAAATTCTTTATAAGGTGATCGAAAAAAGAGCCAACTATACCTAGGCCATTATTACATTTTTTTTATGCACAGCATGATTGGAAAAAAAATTAATTTAAGACGAGAAACTTTTAAATAATGTTAGGTCTAATAATTTATTACACTTGGTGTTTCACATAAATAAGACATAAATATAAAATTCTTTCAAATATATTGTTTTAGTTGAATAATCATGTATTTATGTACAATGAAATACTTAAGTTAAGAAAAAACATAAATATTGATTGTTTCTAGTTAGAAAATCAAATATAATATCTTATTATGGATTATACTAATAACAATTAATCAAAAGTTATTTGTATTCCATAAATAATCAATCATATTATTTATATCTTTAAGTCAAATTTTTAAAGTTATTTAACATTCTAATTCTTATTGGGATAAGACTATTCAATAAAATGTTGTATCTATGTGTCTAGATTTTGTACTCTTCTATCATTTGTACTATTATGATTTATAAATTATATAAACTTATACATAACTTTAAATAAAAATAAAAACATTTGTTTATGGGTACATACCTCCCATTAATTTCAAAAATGAAATTTTTTGTTTCAAATATTTAATTTAGTAATGAAAAAATGTATTATTCAACAATTTTCCAATTCAAACAGAGACTCGTCCATATTGGTAAATTCTATTATGTTTGAATTTAGTTTCATAATCTGGTAATATTGATTAATTACAACAAATTTGTATTGAAACAAACATTCGAGAAACCAATCTAAGAATAATGTTACAACTTTATAGTTACATATCCAACCTAAAAAAAAAAAAAATTATAAACTACCTACATTCTACACAATTGAATTAAATAAACAATTATAAATTATCTTACTTGTGATTTCTGTTGTACTGGGTAAATTAGATCGAACATCAGTACATGAAGAGATATTATCAGCCAAAATAATTCGCAATTTGTAGTCGTCTTTAAACTCTTTCAAATCATTGCTTAACATAAAACCAGCTTTCCGAGCCCATAACTGCCAAAACAATACAAGCATTTCTTATTTATTACAGCTAAAGGTGCATAGGCGCAATTAGAGTAAAAAATTATTTTGTTATTTATTTTTTCAGTAGTTACTACATATTATTATTTTTATTTATCAATATGATGACATAAAGTTCTGCATGGTTTTTGGGGGGCTTTGCCTACGCCCCAATTGCGCCTATGTTAAGGTAGGATATTTGAGATAACAATTTTTTCAACATTATCATTTACTAGTTAATTTAATTTTAATAATATTTTAAAAAAACCCTTTCCTAAGCTTTTTGGCATGGTAATATTCAGTGGCGTGTATCATAAGAAAAATTGATGTTGCTCAAATAATTTTAGGTGACCTACCCCTTATAATACTGTTATACCGACCTATATAATTTTCTATTTTTCGTCTATCAATACCCACCCACCCATATTTTAAGGTGTTGCCTGAGCAACACTTGGGTCCCTATGTTACACGCCACTGGTAATATTTATTATATTATATAAGTACTTAGAATAATTAAAAATCTTACAAAAATATCCTTATATGATTCATTAAATTCAATAGTACTATGAAGATATAAAATGCAATTTCCAGTCCATTCCATCGGTGAATTAATAATGCCCCGTCCCACGCGCCAAGACACCAATGGCGATGGTTCACCACTAAACTCAAGTGGTATATAATCTACCTAAAATTAAGTATGTAGAATATATTCAAAAAATTTTTTTAAATATTAAACTATAAAAATCATATTATACCTCTGGCAGTAATGTCTTAGAAGATAAGCAATTTTTGGCCCAGTCCATAGTTATGATAAAGCAGTTAAATAATAATGCATACATAAATTTTTTTGTACGAATACATCTACCAGAAGGAAGAGTTTTTACAATTAAATGTGTAACTCTATCATCCCACGATATGTATGAGTTTAAATCGAACACATGTATCAACTCTTGTAGCACTTTTAGTTCATCATCTTTAACATTGGAATATGTGATAACTTTACGTTGGTTTTTTACAGAATGATTTTCAGGATTGCTGAGAATAAATATAAAATTCATATAAGTACTAACTCTTAAGTAATAATTATATATACTACCAGTGCATTATATTAGGTATGCTATAACTTTGGAAATATACAGGGTGTTGCAAATGTGTCAAACTTCTGGAGGTGTTTATACACCTCAAATGGAACAAAAAAAGTCCTTGTGACCATAATCGAATTATCAATAATAAGGGTGATAATTTCCATGTTTGTGAATTTTTGTTTGATTCATATTTCATAATGATGTTCATATCTGCTAAAATGTAAGTACTACAATTAATTTGAATACATTGATGAAAAGCTCATGAAATTAGGATTGGGAAAACATATCTTACAAGGTTCCCACCTGATTTTTTTGGTAAAAAGAATAACACGCATTTTTTAAAACTTTAAAATGTCAAAATTTAAAAAAAATCAGTTTACCAGGTTTTGTATATTTTTATTGCTTAGAATTTGTTTTCGTTTTTCCACACATTAGATGGAATAGCGGCCCTTCAGAAAGGTTTAACAAAAAAATCGAGTATACTGTTCAAAAGCTTATAACATTTTGAAGTTTTTTTTGAAATTTGCACCCACCTGCTTTTTTTCAATTTTTGACATTTTAAAGTTATAAAAAATGTGTTATTCTTTTTACCCAAAAAATCAGGTGAGAACCTTGTAAGATATGTTTTCCTAATCCCAATTTTATGAGCTTTTCATCAATGTATTCAAATTAATTGTAGTACCTACGGTTTAGCAGATATGAACATTATTATGAATCAAACTTGCGTTTAACAAAAAAAAAAAAAAAAATTATCACCCTAATTATTGATAATTCGATTATGGTCACAAGGACTTTTTTTGTTCTATTTGAGGTGTAGAAACTCCTATAGAAGTTTGACACATTTATAGTGCAACACCCTGTATACTATAATATTGTAAATTGGGTATAATATCAATATTTAATCTATTCTGTGATAATATCTCCAGAAATAACATTTATGACTTACGGGACATGGTATCTGTCAGGTGTTCCATTGACAACTTTATCATCAGATTCACCGTCACTGTCACTAATACTTATGGTACTCTGTTGATAATAATTGATGTTTTCTTCTTTCCCGCTCATACTTTGATCTTTGAGTTGAAAGTCAATAGCCGTACCAATAACAGTAAAATCTTTAATCTGAAGATCAATTTAGTCTCAGAGTCAGAGTCCTTGTCCCATTCAGCTATGATATCAGGAACGTTCACAGCCTGCCCAACGATCAAACAGTAAAAAGGAAAATGTACAAATACGATCATCATTGTCATATATTATTACACTATTATATATTACACGAATACGGTATTAATATGTTGAAAACCCTGACAGAGCAGTTAAGATACAAACTTTACAGCCATCTCCAGGTTTTTATAGCGAAAACAACATCAAACACCACTTCATTAATATGGTGCTGTACTGATATATGCGAAAATAACATTTAAACGAAATGGTAAATTAAATATATTGGATATATCGTACAGAGTTATTCATAGGTTTACCGAACCATTTAAAATTTAATAACTGTACGAAAAAGTTACCTAGTGTAATTACTCAAAAATATATACATGAATATTATGTTAGTATATTACACGCCTCCATTTACACTAATAGTATTTATTATGAGCGGTAAAATCAAAACAAGTGGTTACCTATTTATATTTTATCTACACTCTCAAACCTAGGGTTTATACTTTAGAGATAAATAAATAAATAAAACTGCTATAGAAATATAGAATACACAATCATCAGCTTAGATGAGCAGTAGTAGTGAGTAATGAGCATAGTTACTTTATTACTTTTCTATGGCAGTGAGCACTGGCGCACTGAAGTGAGCTGCTGCAACAATGGTCAATGCTATAAGGGCATCATGCTAACTGCTAAGACTGCTAAGACCACGGACTAAGATATCTTAGTCCGTGGCTAAGACTAAACTACAGCCTGTGTGTAGTCTACAGGTCACAGATTAAATGAAAACGTTAAACGATTAACGGATTGCAAGTTGCAACAATGCAACAGATTCCTCATGATAAAATAATTATAAATATAATATATATATAAATATAAATAATATATATATAAATATTTTATCATGAGATTCCTATGGCCTATGCTACCATGTCACTACACAAGTACCGTGTGGCCCGGTGTGGGCATCGGACAGTTGGGTCCCCGAGATAACAGCCAGTGTTGCCAGATTTTAAGTAGCCGAAAATCGTACACAACTTATGAAATTATCGTATATTATCGTACACGGATTATCATTAAATTATCGTACATTATCGTACATTATCGTTATTATTATTACATTATCATTATTCATAGAAAACAACATATTTTTATTATTATATTATATATTTATATTTATTATTAATTATTATTCATATTTAATCTTTAAGTATAAAATCGTATGTATCGATTAAATCAGTCTTAGGATATAAGTTATTTGAACACATTCTATCAAACATTTCTTTGGATGGCACAAAATCTAGGTAACTGACTAGCTAAATTGCATATACTTGGATATTCTTCTCTTTTATTAAATGATACAGCAACAGATGGAGTGAGCATTCTTATCAAAGGAAGAACAGTGTCAGAAAAGTTATATCTTTTTTTAATCTGACTACAAGATACCATATAAAATTCAGTACATTTTGTTTTAAATTCTGATAACAAATCTTGACGACTAGTAATAACCCTACTTGATAAATATGTGGACAATTTATAACCTACATATATTTGTTTTCCAGGAAGAATATTTTCATGGTCTTCGGGATTCAATTCTCCTAATGGTGTTTGAAGAACATACTTTTTATTCATATAATACATCAATATTTCTTTAAATGTGAATTCCATTTTTTCGTGCAAATTGGGCAAAATAACCTTTTCTGTTTGAAAATATTGATTTAAGTAAGTGAATTTTGGTAATATGAATTCTAAAAACATGAAATATGCCTTTGTAAATGGATCTAGCAATTGTTTATAAATTGATTCAGTAGATAATAACTTTTCAGATAGCCATTTATCGGTGAAAAATAATCTTAGAGCTTCCCATTGCTCTAAAATACGATTTACTACTTCTAGAAGCGATAACCAACGGGTCTGTGATGGATGTAATATTTTATGTACCTTTATACTACAAAAGTTTTGGAATTCAACAAACTGGCTTTGCCTTTTAGAACTTTGCCCAAAAAAGTTATAAATATTCCTTGCTAAGTCTTCACATCTTCTTGGAAGTGATTTGCATGCCTGACTGCAGCATAAGTGTAATGAGTGACAGATACATTTGACTATCATAATCCCAGGAAACATTTCTTTCATTAAAGTTGATACAGAATTATGCTTACCCATCATTGACGCACACCCATCAGATCCAAATCCAATTATATTATTCACATTTATTTCATATTTCTTAAATGAATTTATAATACATTCAAATAAATTTTTTGCAGTAGCGCCTTCATTTACTTTATCAGGATTATTTATGTCATACACTGGGACTAAATCCCAAAATTTACTGACCATTTTTTTAAATTCATGGTCATAAAATCTAACAACTATACACATATGTGATTGGGTACCAATATCTGTAGATTCGTCAACCATAATGGAGAATTTAGAAAAGTTTAACTTTTTTATCAAAATATCCTTATGTGCAGGCGAGATTACATTTTTTATAATATTGGTAGCTTTAGTTCTTTTTAATTTCATTTTTTGACAAATTTTAGAATCTGGGAAGACATTTTTCATCAACTCTTCCAAGTGATCAATGAATTGAAATGCCACATTGTGTTCAGCAAGTAATGCAGAAAATTTAATTTCGGCACGTTGGACTTGTAAATCAAATTCATTTGGTTTTAAATCAATAAAACTGGGTAATGATGGATGACTACTAGTTGCTTTAGTCGAAGATAAGTGCATCTTACTTTTTGAATGGTTTTTTAGACAGCTTAGTTCCGCTGTGAAACTCACTTGACACCTCAAACATCTTGCCCTGTAGCAATCGTCAGCAACTGGTTTTAGCCATCCCTTGTACGCACTTTGCAATTCCCATCCTGCCCGGTATTTCTGTCTCCTATGTTTTTCTTTGGGCAATTCATTCCTTACTCTCCTCTTCTTTTGAGGTGTTGTACATCTCTTATCATCATAGCTCTAAAATAACATAATTCATAAATCGTAATGTTCTAACTAAAAATTACTTGGGTGAGATTGCAGTAAATTTAGAAAAAAATCAATAGACATAATTTTTAAATCATATTTTGTACTTACATCTGGTGTATCTTCAATGTCCGACATTTTGGTAGGTTAAATAGTAATGGTGACTGCCGACTAGTGAGAGAATAGAAAGTGTCACTAATGTGACTAGTATAAGTGGGTTGAAGTTGTTGAACTGTGTGCACAAAATGTCAAAATGACAAAAATTCCAAAAGAAGAGACAATAGATTAATAATCTAAGGCGCAATTCAGTACTCTCATTGAAGACAGGCAAATAATTTGTTGAGTACTAGTGAGGTTAAAATATAAGTTTTATTAGGAAAATATAAAATTCCAGTTTTGCAACAATTATTATAATCTTATATTTTTCGTGTACTATAGTACTACAGTACTATACCTTAATAAAGGAAGTAACATATTTAACAGGTTTAGAAAATATGTCATAAATGTCTTATCTTAATAGCATCAAGTTTGGGTGTACACACTATAGTTCTCAAAGTCCCTTCATTATATAAAGTTAAATATACAATTTATTGGGGTTTAACATATATAGGTATGTTCAGAAATTAACATATTAACTTCCAATGGTGGGCAAGTTAATGAAAATAATTAACTGTGGCAAGTTAAGTTAATTAAATTAAATTGCCTTCAGTTAAGTTAAAAGTTAACAAAGAAAAAAATTTAACTAGATAAGTTTAAAGTTATGATGGAAAATAAAATTAACTTATCTCAGTTAAAAAAAAGTTAATTTTTTTGAAGGTACAATATTTTTAAGTCATAACTACCATAGTATTTTATATACTCAAACATTTACCAAGACATTTAACACTGTGTAAAAAATTATATTATTATAATTTATAATATATAATTCGAAAATGAATTACCAAAACTGTAAAAAAGTCGAAGAATCAGTATTTCCTAGTTGATTACGCATGACTCAAAAGAAAATTAACTTAACTGCTCGACAATGATAATTAACTATAAAAAGTTAAGTTACAACAATAAACATTTTAACTGAATAAGTTAATAAGTTAAAAACAAAAATAATTAACTAGTTAAGTTAAAAAGTTAAAAAAAAATTAACTTTTTAACTTAACTTTAACTTTTTAACAAGTTAATGCCCACCTTTGTTAACTTCAACTCAACAACTAATTTCTGTAAAAAAAAGTGTAGGTAACTAAATAACATGTACTGGAAATAATAGGTTTGTTATGATAATGAATAACAAATTTATATAAATATAAAATAAATCCTTTATTGTCAAACATTTTTAAATCATTAACTTAATGTATAATATACTATAATAGAGACAATAATAAATAACAAATAAATAAATATATTTATAATATTTTAAACAAAAATTCAAATTTTGGTGAAATTTTGGATAAATGAATTGCCCAGATTATCGTATTTTAGAGTACGATAATCGTACATCGTACATTAGCCTGAATTATCGTACATGTACGATACAAACCGTACGTCTGGCAACACTGATAACAGCCGTTTTAATCAGCATTATTTATCAGATCAATCTCATGGAATAAACGCTTAAATTGGGGACCAACTAAAATGTAGGAGTACCAACTTAGGAAATACTAACATCATAGAACAGTATTAATTTGCAATTTTAGATTCTGAGCGGAGCGATGAATGTATTGGTTTTACAATGATGTGTTTTTTTTTTTTTGTGTCTGTCATCACGTTTTAGGACAGTAAAACTAGTAAAAGTGCTTGGATTTTCTTCATCAGTAGCTTTTCTGATAGGAAAGTGAATCTAGTTGGTACTTTGGGAGGGTCAAAAGTATAAATTTCCCAGTAGTTTTCACAAGCGCCGGGAAAAACAACATAAAAATTAAGGAAAAACGGGAATTTTTACGCAAAATTGGTTTTCCAAAAAATCGATTTTGGTTTTTGGTGTAACTCTAAAACAAATGAACGTATATACATGAAATTTTCACTGGTTGTTTATATTTGCATTTTCTATACACGATAACATTTTCAAAATATTTTGATTTGTTTTGAACTGTTTAGGGACATTTTCATTTTCCGTTTTTTTTTAGTTTTTTTTCTAGAAATATCAATAAAATTTTATTGGTTGGTTAAAATAACTTGAAAATTTAATAGAAGGCTCCTAGTATATTGTTTCAAAGGCAGATGAAAAATATTAAAAACCGTTAGTCACAGTTTTTTTTTATAAGAATTTAAAGTTCAAAAATTGACAAAATATGGAAAAATCACGAAAATTAGCAAATTATTTTGAGTTAAGAATTCGTAAAAATTTTTCTTTTTAAATCTAAGATTTGAAAATGTAATACAAGATTACTCATAAGTTTGTCTACCTTCATCAATAAAAAAATCTCTACCGGACAGTCAATTAAATTTTTATGAGCGTTTGAAGTTCAAATTTTTACAACATTGGATGTTCACTCGAATTCTCATGTAGGGATTTCCTTATTTTGTTGTTATTCATAAACGAATAACTATAGATACATGAAAATTTCACTGAATGTTTATATTAGCATTTCCTATACACCATACAATTTTGAAAATATTTTGACTCATTTTGAGCTGTTTACTGATATTTTCATTTTTCAATTTTTTTAGTTTTTTTTTCTATGAATATCAATAAAGTTTTATCTGTTGGGCCAAAAAGTGTAAACATTTAATACAAGGCTCCTGATATATTGTTACAATATCAGTTGAAAAATATTAAAAATACAAAGGTACAATTTTTTTTTATAAGCATTTAAACATCGAATTTTGATAGATTTTTTTAAAATCTCGAAAATTATTAATCATCGTAATTAATAAATTATAAAATGTTCAGTTTTTATAGCTAAGGATTGAACATTTGAAACAAGAAATAGTTAATTCTCTTAGCGAAAAATCTAAAAAATATACAATCACAGTTTATTTTTATAGTCATTTTATGTTTAAATTTGGACGAAATTACATATTAAAAAACCTAGTTATTTTGTTGTGATTATATAATATTATTCGTGGGTACCTACTTGAAACTTCTATAGTGTACTATTATATATCTATGATAGTATTAGAGTTTGTTATTGATGTTGATGTATAACGTGTTATAATTAGTACCTAATGGATATTGTGATAATGTGATATGATTAATTTGGAATTTATTATATGTCAATTTTTTTTTAATACCATAGATATGTATACAATTTTTCTTAAACCTAGACTGACATAGTGACATACAGTCTTCGCTCAGAATCGTTTTTCTTATACAATGATATTGTATCATTGAATTCAAATTTAATAGCATCCATTATACAGTGACACACTTGTAACCTACTGTACAGCAGAGCGACATTCACTTACCCACCTTTTTTTTTTTCTTGACCAGTGGGGTGTTCATGGAATGAGGTTAGGGATTATATCCCCCCCCCCCATTGTCTTTTTTGTCGATCTACAGAAAACCACTCATTAGTTATTACAGCTGTTTTAGAGTCATTAACTTTTATTATGTATTCATTATTTAATTATTATTAATTTTGTTCGTTTGATCAAACATTTTATTTGTTGAGCTGTTTACAGATATTTTCAATTATTTTAGTTTTTGATCTATACATTTTTATTTGTTGGCTCAAAAATTTAACACAAGGCTCCTGATATATCTTTACAATAGCAGTTAAAAAAAATTCAAAATACAAAAAATATATATAAATATATTATATAATTATTAATTATATATTATAATATACATTTTTTTTTAATAAATATTTTAAGTTTGAATTTCGTCAATATGATTTTGTAGTTAAAAGTGTATAATATAAAATATTAATAATTATAAGTAATAACAATATAAATATAATATAAAATATCCTAGGCTGTCAAGCCGTCTCTGCTCAGAATCGTTTTCCGGCACATGATATCATTGAATTCAAATTTAACACCATGCATTACACTATTACAGTCACCCACTACTGCAATTCCCACACTGGCAGGACTTTCTCTTCCAACAATTCATGTTAAAATGTTATTAAATTTACTTATTGTGCAAAAAAATATGACTACAAATTGTAAATTATAATATTCCTTTATTTTTAACAATAAATATAAGATTTCCTTTAATTAATAATTATTACTCTATTATAATTCTACAATTAACCATATTTGGTTAATACCTAATTAAACTTAACATATCTTACATGTTAGCTTAACCTTATTTAGATCAATATCCAATAAAAATAACTAAGCTATTTGTTATGATCAGTTGTATCCAAAACTACTGTAATTTAACAAAAGAATATAATATATATATTTAATATTATATATACATAATATAAATATACATATACTTTTTATACAGTGAAAGTTAATAATAAATTATGTTATAACTTCTATAAATATTATTGTTTTTTAATTAGGTATACATACATACATTAATTGATATATGTCAAAATTATAAATTGTGTTTTCAATACCTACTGAGTTAGTCACTTATTGAGTCAAAGTTTAGTACCTACTAATTGAATTATTTTACATTTCAAACAATAAAGAATAATGAATGCCTTATTATTAGCAAAATTGATTTATAAAATAATCAAGTGATTAAATTGTACAACATAATAAGGTACCATATAATAATTTATAATACTTAATGTAATGTAAATATTTCCAAAGTATAGAGAATACAAATAAAATTTGTATTAAGTTCAACATTGGTTGGACTAAATAATGTCAAATTATGAGTAACGACAGATTATGTTACTAAGTATAAATGAAAGATAAACAAAAAATTAAAATAATCTGTCAGATACTATTTTACAAATCTGTTTAGACATATTATCATATAAATATACGAATAATGTAAAACTGTATCAAATAATAAATTATCATGATGGGTTTAATAGAAAATTCTATTTTACCAGTTTATCATTTCTGTCGGAATTAACACAAATAGATACAGATCCTTTAAACTAGTTAACTAGTAATTATGATTATCTTCTTCAAGAATCTCAATGTCCTCTGTCTCTTCAAATAGATCTACTGATGATTGAGATAAATTTAAATAAGATTCCCCGTGCGATTCAGTATTTTGATTAGACAATTGGTTTTGTATTGACGATTTAATTGTGTTAATATGAATCATGTCTGGTTTTATTTTGCTGTAATAATAAATAAATTTAATACATTAGTCAAATTAGATCTCTAACAAATAGTCAAAATTATCTAAAACTTTAAAGATTTAGAAATTTAAAAATTTTAGTTTAAATGTTTTTGTCAGTCTACGGATAAATTAATTTATAAAAACAACTATTCCAAAAAGATAATAATTTGGAATTAAAAAATATTTGAGTAAAAAACCCTCAAAGCAAAACTACTTTTTAAAATGTAATTTGGCTCTATTTAATTTCATAATAACTATTTTATTTGTTATCATTTATTTTTTTTAGTTATTTACATGGTACAGTTAAAGGTGTGTATAGCTGTAGAACCTTAGACTACCGGTAATACATCTGTTACATAATTATTTTACAATTAAATAAACTCTATCTGTATGGGAATAAGATCAGCGGTAATAATGACACAATTAACAAATGATTTTGACGTGAGTGGTGATTAGGCTGATTTTTTAACATGCACTCTGATCATTAAAATTAAAACATAAATTAAGAATTATAGATCAGTTTATTAATTAAAAACATAAACTAAAAAGTAATAAGATAATAGTAAGCGATTGGATCCCACTTTCAAAAGCCATACAACCAGCCTATTTGGGTGCTTAAAAAGATAGGGGTAAATACTAAATACCCACCTTGGCTTCTACAAATGACGCTACTGGTCCAAATCAAATACACAATAATACTAAAATTACCAATTACTAATTGAGTAGTTTTTTTTTACAGTAAATATGTTTTAGGGCTGGCTACAACTTATATTTTTCTGACCAATTTTCGTAACTCCTAAAACTTTTATTATTGATACCATAGTAATCCTTCCCCTAAAAACATAATATATTTATGATTCTTAGATTTTCTTTGGAAAAATATCAAGTAGCATGCTATATTGCCATGTTATACACAACACTTTACATAACAGACTTCACAATAGTCAATATATTTTTTATTAAGTATATTTTTAGTAAAATGTTTACTAGAAACAATTTTGTACTATGAAAATGATTGAAATACGTTGTTTATAATTGTGAGAAATAATATGATACACTATTGAATAATATTTAAAGAATTAAAAACTGTTTTTCTACCTTAGCAAAAGTTGATCGCAGTAAAATGCTTGCCCATGTATTAATTTTACTGTTGTGTTACAAGTAGAGAATGGGGATTTTTATAGTCTAGGTTAAATGTATTAAACTTTTTTATTCTTTTTATTCACAACATTTTAGAGGCTCCCAAATTATTAATGACAAAAAATAAAGTAATTAAAATAAAAAATGAAGAAAATCAAAATTATATTTTTTAAGTTCAGAATAAAATATTATTTAAATTTGTTTTACTCTTCCGTGAAACAGCAGAGTTTATCAAAAATTACAGCATATACTAACAAATAATAATATATTTTTACTTTAATCGTAATAATAAACTATTTTTATATCATAAAAGTTCAAATTTGATCTATAATAATTTTAATAATTCAATTTATAATTTAAAAATAAATTCTTATAATTAATCGATATATATCAAATATAGACAAAATTTAAAAAAAATATAAGTTTATGCGATTTGTAGAAAAATATACTACAGTGGAACCTTAATAAGTCGAAATACAAGGGAAATAACATTTTTTTGACTTACTAAGATTAGGTTGGATTAGGCAAGGGAACAACATTTATTTTGACTTATTAGGTTTTCGACTTATTGAAGTTCTACTGTACTTCCATTTTTGTCGTATTTGATTGAATATTATAATTTTTGGAATATAATTAATAAGTTATACATTTTGATGATCATAATATTTAAGTAAAGATAACATTTAATTGAAAAATAATTATATAACTTTAAGATTTTTATTAAATCTTGTTCTTGTTTTTCTTAAGATTACCTAACCATATTTTGTTTGTAAAAGCCCAAACTACAATAATCATTTGGAATTATCAATCAGTATAATATCAAAATATGGATATTTACAAGCAGTATTTGGTAAAACATAGGTTTTAACAGTATTCTGTATTCATACTTATACCATGACATATATTATATAATATAATATACTTCAATTATTTTTTGGTATGTGATTTAAAATCTTAACCATATAGGGTTTTACCCATAATAAATATTTTGAACATTATTCATTTATCAATTTTAAGTACATATATAGTTATAAATATTTACTTATTAAATTCTTCATCAGGATATAATTCGTCCAACGTTCCACTCCTGTTAAATACAATAACACTCCCTTAAAATGTTGAAATAAACAAATTTAAAACACAACTTACTCTAATGCAATTACTTTCCACACTAAATCTTCAATTTGAGAAAATGCTATTTTCATTTCAGTAACTGTACTGACTTGTGTATTTGGATCGAACATGATATTACAAATCTGACAGCAAGTCGTACCTGTAGCTTCAATTTTTGCACAATTTATACAGAGTACATGATGACAGGCGTTAATAATTAACCAATCTTTAGTATGTTGTTTACTGAAACGGATACAATATTTATTAATGATTCAAATTTCAAAATACAATATTAAGCACATAAGCGATTTGCCGTACGTAATATGATCTAAAAAGTAAAAACAACATAACATACCATTTTCCACATTCTTCTTCTGGGATCAATAATTTGTGCTTTAATGACAACATGTTAAACATGACGTCTTTTTGCTTGGACGCCATGTCGACCAGGTGCTTAGACATGATTCTAAGAAACAAATAACAAACTAAGAAAATTTGATTCAAGCTGTTAACCTATAGTTAACATGTCGTTACGGCAATGTAAGTACGAGTCGTCAAAGCACTAACAGTGCAAACGAATTAAGCTATATCTTAATATAACTTAGTACGTGTACCTACAGCCTAAATAATATTAATTCGTGTTGTAGCGTGCGACGATGTAAATAATATGTAATAATATTATCATTAATTATTGTTCGGCAGTTTGTGGGGCAAAATAATTATCACTTAAATACAACGAGCCGGAACGATTCAATGAAAACGGAAACCAAGAAGAGTTAAAAGTCAAAACTAAAAAGTGTAAAACTATTTCAGAATCTGGTATTCCGGTTTTGTTGGCGTATCTCCGACGGGCTAAAAAGTAAAAAGCGCGGCTAAAAAAGTAAAAACGATAATGGTCTAGAATGTTTGTGTATTCTGTGGTTGGATTCGCTAGTTCTTTTTCCTCCATGAAATTTCGGGACAAGTGCCAATAATATATAATATTATTATAAATTCCATTTCCGTAAAAAAATGCCGCACTGTTCACCAATATTGTTCCCACCGAAATTACAAATTCAATTCTCTTCCAAACTTCCAATTTCCAAAGGTCCAAAAATAAATAGTGTTAGTAAAATCAAAAACGTGGTTTTGTTTTTAGTGATCTTGTGTGTTTTTTAAAGCATATTAATTATTCATTCAAAACGACTAAATTATAATAAATACAACATATTATGTGGCAGTGGCACTATGGATGAGTTTATATAATATGCAAGTGGCCATAGATGTTGCTTACTGTACTGCCATAGGTAGTCGTTTTTAAATTAATAATGTTAGTTTTTCAAAGATTCTGTGGTATAAATTTAGTTTAGCATACATTCGAATTTTTCTATTTTTTTTTTCAGAAACCTATAATGTATTAGGTACAACGAGTTAAGAACGATGTTGCAAAAATAATTGGAATTCATTAGTTTTTAAGTTATAGCCTTACAGAGTTTACGATTTTCAATGTTTTAATCATTCGTATAACGCATTATTATTTTACCTCGTTTGGAACTTTTCTGATTTACTGAACAACCTTTTTTTTTTAATTTTAGATTCTGAGTGAAACGATGAATGTATTGATTTTACAATGATGTGTGTTTTTTTTTTATTTTTTTTTCATTTTTATTTTTGTCTGTTATCACGTTTTAGGACAGTAAAAGTGCTTGGATTTTCTTCAACAGTAGCTTTTCTGATAGGAAAGTGAATCTAGTTGGTACTTTGGGGGGGCCAAAAGTAAAAATTTCCTAGTAGTTTTCACAAGCGCCGGGAAAAACAATATAAAAATTAAGGAAAAACGGGAATTCGGTTAATAAATAAATATTTAAAAACTTATTTTTCGTTTAGGTACATATCTAATTTTGTTAAAATTTGAACTTAAAATGTTTATAAAAAAAACTGTGTAAATATATTTTTAGAGATTTGGGTTACAAATGGCAATATCAACTACTGACGAATAACTATGTTTTATTTTTTCTATCTTTAACTAAAAAAATTATAATTTTATACATTTTTAACTTCAAAATTTCTAACTGAAAAGTAATTTGCAAATTTTCGAGACTGATGAATTTCGTCAAAATTCTACCTTCAGATAGTCGTAAAAAATGATTGTGGACTTACGCTAAACTTTTTTTTAATTTTACTAATATTAACAAATTACCTATGCGAAACTATAATAATATTACAAAATGTAATAGGTATATTATATATTATATAATATACCTATAACATTTTCAAGTTTATTGACATACCAAAAAATGTTTTACCGACAGCAGTTAAAACAAATTGCTTATAAATCTAGCTATCAACAGTTCAAAAAGAATCAAAACATTTTGCCAATATTCGGTAAGACAATTTATGAATCTACAGTTATTATTTCATTATTAATCGATTTTGTTTAAAATTGGCTTTGCATAAAAATTCTCATTTTAGATTCTGAGTTTAGCGATGAATATATTGATTTTACAATGATGTGTGTGTTAATTATTAAATTTTTTTTTGTTTCTGTCATCACCTTTTAGGACAGTAAAAATGCTTAGATTATCTTCAACCGTATCTTTTCGAAAGAGCAGGGAAAAAGAAAAGAACAATTAAGGTAAACGGGATTTTTTACTCAAAATCGATTTTCGACAAAATCGATTTTGGTTTTTGGTATAGCTCTAAAACAAATTATCAAAGTCAAACCTTAGATACATGCGATTTTCACTGGTTGTTTATATTATCATGGTCTATACACGATAAAATTTTCAAAAAACATTGATTTGTTTTGAACTGTTTACGGGCATTTTCAATTTCCCATTTTTTTAGTTTTTTATTCTATAAATATCAATAACATTTTATTTGTTGGGCTCAAAAGCTTGAAAATTTAATAGAAGGCTCCTAATATATTGTTTCAAAGACAGATGAAAAATATTAAAAATCTACACTCCCAATTTTTTTTATTATAAGCATTTAAAGTTTGAATTTTGACAAAAGGTGTAAAAATCACGAAAATATGCAAATGATTTTGAGTTAAAAATTCCTAAAAAATTTTCTTTTTAAGTCTAAGACTTTAAAACCTAATAAGATTCCTCATAAGTTTGCCTACCTTTATCAAAAAGAAATGTCTACAAGCAAATCAAATTAAGTTTTTATGAGCGTTTGAAATTCATATTTTTTACAACATTGGACATTCATTCTAGTTGTCATGTATGTAGCGATTGTCTTATTTTGTAGTAATTCAAAAACGAACTACCGTGGATTCTTGAAAATTAGATCACATGTTTATTTCATGAATTCCTATACTTGATAAAATTTTCTAAATATTTTGACTCTTTTTGAGCTGTTTACGGACATTTACAGCTTTCATTTTTTTTAGTTTTTTCTCTATAAATATCAATAAAGTTTTATCTGTTGCCTGTTGGGCCAAAAAGTGTAAAAATAAAAGCTAAGGATTACAAATTTAAAACAAAGGTTCTCATAAATAGTTCATACTGTAACCAAAAAATCTAAAAAATATATGAACACAGTTATTTTTTACAGACATTTTAAATTAAATTTTGGACAAAATTACATAATAAAAAACCTAGAATAACTATTTTAGTTAGTTTGTTGTGATTGTATAATATTATTCGTGGGTACTTAAAACTTCTAAAGTATACTACTAATATATCTATGATAGTGTCAAGGTTTGTTGTTGGTGTATAACGCGTTATAAGTACCTAATGGATATTGTGATATGATTAATTTGGAATTTATTATAGGTACCTATAATAGGTCAATTTTTTTAATACCATAGATAAGTATATAATATGCATTATACCTAGAAGTTCTCCGCTCAGAATCGTTTTTCTTATACAATAATATAATATCATTGAATTCAAATGTAATACCATCCATTATACAGTGACCCACTTGTAACCTACTGTACAGCAGAGCGACACCCACTTGCCCACCTTTTTTTGTTTTAACTTACCTATGTAGTTAAGCATGCTGAAAACGATGGGGAAGTCTGAATTTGGCGACCAGACTTATTTAAAGTTATAGCTAATTAAAATGTTTGGTATTTTCATATATATATGTACCTATTAGATACACCCTGGGTGGTTATACTATTATACTCTCTACGGTTGCTCGGACAATTAAAATCGAAAATATCTCTCGAATCTGCATTGTATTTCTGCACTGTAATTTTTAAAACGTTGATTTACCTAGGTTTCAAAAAAAATAAATTGAAAATTTGTTATGAGAGCGGTATACTATAAAAATCGTTGTACGTGTCCGTAAAACACAGAAAATTGTGAACTTCGTTAGGCTATATCATAAAAACTAATGATTTCCGGCAATAACTTTTGCACAATCGTTCTAAACTAGTTGTAATACATAGGGGTCCGAAAAAAAAATTTTAAAAATTCGGTCTGTCTTAAAATTAGATTTATAGCTCTAAATTTAACGAATAATTTGTTTGAAAAAAAATTTCAAACCACACACCCCTCCCCCTTAAACAAAATTGCTGAGTACTCTTCTGCAAACGAGAATACCTAGCAAGCGAGTGACCACGCCGGGTGTATATGAAAATACCATACATTATTTCAACATGGACGGAACTATGGGGTGTGTAAAATGAATTGATAACATTTAATAATATACATACACATTAATTGAATTTCAGTTTTTTATAAGTAGAACTGAAAATGATCAGAATAATTCTGTAAAATAATAATTGCATGTATTTTTATATTTACCAATTTTTATTTTACATTGTTAATGAAGCCTGGATGTTTAGACTTTAAATCATTTCATCGTATTTGTTTATCGGCCATCATTATTTCTTACATTGTATTCAATGTTATTGTCGTTGACTCGAAAACTTCGGTATAATTATAAAGGTCGACGCCAGACGGTGATAAAAATTTCCAGCGAAAAAATATTGCCTTTTCTCGGAAATTTTTTTTCATAATAATAAGTACCTATTTATTTAAGTAAATGTATTAAAAACCTTCCTGAATGGATGAATTTGTATCTGTATTTAAATATAAAAATTAATCACGAAATAACTGAAATTTGTTACAAACAATTTGGCAACGTCGCATTCAATTTCACGTGCAATCGTACGCTTTTGAATAGTCAAAAACAGGGCCAGACTGGCCCAGTGGTCTACTGTCCTAAAGTTCATATTCTTACAACATTGGATATTCACTCGATTTCTCATATAGCGATTTCTTTATGTTGTTGTAATTCAAAAACGAATAACTGTAGATACATGAAAATCTCACTGAATGTTTGTATTAGAATTTCCAATACTAAAAATTACAGAAGGACAGTTTATTTTTATAGTCATTTTAAGCTCAAATTTGGACGAAATTATATAATAAAAAACCTAGAATAACTATTTTAGTTATTTTGTTGTTAAAAATTTATAAAATGTTCAACTTTTATAGCTAAGGATTGAAAATTTAAAACAAGGGTCCACGTATAAATAGGTAAATATATAAATTACTTTATTCACAGTAATAATATCAACAAAATATAATATACTTAGTAATATCATAGGCTAACTGACCGTTTTCGCTCAAAATCGTTTTTCTTATACAATGTTATTATATCATTGAATTCCAATTTAACACCTTCCATTACAGCGACCCACTTGTAACCTACTGTACTAACCGGCTTTTTTTCATTATTTTTATTGTTTTTTTTATTTAGTTAGGTATATGCATATATCAAGATAATGGAGGTAACTAAAGTATTAACTATAGTCCCAATGTCATACTTTCCATATTAAATTTCAATTACAGATGCTTTTAAAATTCAATTGGTACTTTTATTTGAATAAAGAATTAACAGAATAAAAATTGTCCTTTTGTACAATCAATTATAATTTTTACTTAACACATCATACTATAAAGAATTACAATGACACAAAGTACAATAATGTATAAAGAACCAACCTAAATAGTAAATATAAAAAAACTCAAATGGTTCCAGTTTCTATGACGGATAAATCATAAATGATTCTCAGATGACTCTCTTTTATAATATATCATTAGGTATAATATTTGGGGGGGGGGGGCAAAAAAAAAATGTTGTTGGCTAAGCTCCCCTTCATCCCCCAACTAATTACGCCTATGGCCAGAGAGTAGGGCCGCTATTATATTTGGGATAATGGGCCGGACCCTACCCAGTCCGGTCGGCGGTCCTGGTCAAAATCGTGTTCTTTGTTGTTCCGGAACTGCTCGCAATCGTATCCTTAAAAAAGTAAAACGCGCTCAATCGTACTCTACCGATACAGTTAACTGTCCTAAGCGACAAAATAATGAAGATAATAATCGTTCATATGTAGAACTATGGAATATATTAAAAATGTAAACAATTAAATTTTGTATTTTCAAAATAAATTAAAAAGATTTGTTTTCACCTAATTTAATAATATTTATTTATTGTTGTAGTATACATTCTGTATAGTTATAATGATTGTTTGATTGGTGTTGTTAAAACTACTTGGATTGTGTATTTGTGTGGGTTAGATTGATTTAAATCTTTGAGCGAAACGCTAATTTTTTATAAGTCTATTAGCACCCCTTCTTTTATATTTCCAATTCGAGCACTGACTTTAGAAGTTTCAAGTACCCACAAATAATATAAAACAATCATAACAAAATAACTAAAATAGTTATTCTAGGTTTTTTATTATGTAATTACTAATTTCGTCCAAATTTGAACTTAAAATGACTATAAAAATAAACTGTGCTTATGTATATTTTAGATTTTTTGGTAATAGAATTAACTACTTAGGTACGTGGAATCTTGTTTTAAATTTTCAATCCTTAGATATAAAAGTTGAACATTTTATACATTTTTAACTACAAAATAATTATTCAATTTTAAATTTGATACATTTTGTCAAAATTTGATCTTTAAATGCTTATAAAAAAAAATTGTGCCCATGTATATTTAATATTTTTCAACTGCTATTGTTACATTATATTAGGAGTCTTCCATTAAATTTTCAAACAAATAAAATTTTATTGATATTTATAGAAAACTGACAATGTCTGTAAACAGCTCAAAAAGAGTCAAATCATTTTCAAAATTATATCTTAAACATATTAATAAAGATACGCTGAGTGCAAAGTGCCCCCCCCCCCCACATGCGATAGTGAGTAGAACCAAACAATACGTTTAATTTTTATATACTATACCTACTTAGATATAATTTATATACCTAATTTATATCTTAGTCAGTGGTTGACACTTGTTGTATCTTGTATAACAAGTACCAAATATACCTATTAATTATTATAAATTGGTTTTACATTTTTCGCACTAACATAATGCAGATTGCAGAACCTATGTTGTCGGCGTATTGTATAGGCAATATAGGTACATTAGTGATTAGTACACTACTTAAGACAGAAGTGTTCAATATTGTCCATCATTATTACATTTTAATTTTTAACTCATAGCAAATATACTCCTTGTGACGTGACCATATCTCCGTTCGCTGAGAGAAAGTGGTTGCGCACAATCCAAAACAGGTCGTAACCGCCGCAACCACCCGATTTCACATTCCTCTTCGGCTCTTCACCATTCGTATATTATTCTTAGGTACCTAATTAGTTTGGCCGTATAGGTATGATAAGGATAAAATATCGTACCTACATCATTTTTGTATGTGGGGAAGGATTAGAAAAACTGATTTAAACCTAGGTACTTGCACATTAAAATCATAAATAACATAATATACCTAGGTTATCTATGTAATTTTTCTGCGCCAACCAATAATAATCTTCTTCTTTTTTTTTAATAATTAAACTAATTATTGGTCTTAACCATAGAGTATCGCAACTATGGCCATGTGATATTACTATTAATGCATTATTAAATTATTTAAATGAAAAATAAAAATGTTTGGTTTATATTAAATATTTTACGTGTGATTTGGGGATTTGTTTTATCATGTACACTTTTTGTAATTAAAAATGTAATTTAGAACTCTTGGGCTCCCACCCGAGTTCTCTCGATGAGGCTAAGTATTTAGAAAAAATTCAATTTTTACTGTTTTTAGGTACAATAGTGTCAATAAATATTTAGATTTAAATAATTATTTAAGTACTAACTTATTATAGATAAACAATATTCATAATATTATGTTAGGTTAGGCATATATCTGGTTTAGCAACTTATCGATTTTTCTAATTTTCAAGCGTAGCCAGAAAAACAATTTTAAGATTCCTTGAAATGCCTAAGAACACTTTTTTATAAAATTTTAAAAAAGAACTATGGGGGGGGGGTCTTACCACCACACCCCCATGTATATGCCCCTATATAGGTACATGTAGCCGATATTATATACACAATCAAATATGAGAATATCTGAACACAGCAAAAATCGACATTTTGGCTGAAAGCCTGAATCTACCAAATTAATAGGTTTACAACCTTGACTAATATTATATATTATAATGATATTACTTATATATATATAAAATAATGAAATAATGAGTGTTTTACATTAATTTAAATACCCTATATAAAAGAAGATTTAACAGCAATTTAGAGATGCACAAAAACAACATACCATGTTGTTCTATTAACTAAAGAAACATATTTTATTAAATTAGTATTTGTGGTGTTATTTAAGTTTATTAGACAAATGTTAAAATAACTTGAAATATTGTTAAAAACTAAGCACGATCTTATTCCACAAGTTGTGTGATGATGAAAAATGTAGGCAGACACTTAATAAATTCATAAAAACTACTTTGCTGATAGTTGACATTAATATTCTAAAAAATTTGCTCCAAGTATACTTATAGTACTTGGTATCAATGATTTGTTGTAGATGGTTAACATGATTAAATTTAACATTTCATTATTTTTTTAAAGATATAATAAGAATATAAAAATTGCTTTGTATTATCATAATTTTTATATTGTGTCTTATCATTCGACCAACTCTTCGTAACAAGATATATTGACACACACAGATATACAATATTTTGTATAGGTACTGTTTAAGTGTTTAATCAAAACTGTATCTAAATTGGAAAAAATAACACAGTATTTTTATTTAACATAGAACAATAGTAGTATTGATTAAATATATATTTTTTTAGACTTCGGTAAACAAAACAAAATATGTTCTTAAAATTTTAATATTGAAATCCTAAACAAATAAATAATCATGATAATAATACACTATAAAATTGAACAACATATGGAATGTTTCAGTGAAACGAAAACTAAAACCAAAATTAAATTTGTACACCTTTATATTTTTTATATGGAATTGAAAAAAAATACTATGACACACATATCATTCTTTGTTAGCTGTAGCTTTGAAATTTTTGTGCAGCTCTGGTTTGATGTCATAAACCAATTCAAGAATTTGATCAATGACCGCCTGCTTGTTAACAATTACGGCCTTATTCATCTCTTCAATCTTTATTTTAGTATCAGCATCTATTCTTGCAGCAACATCTTCGCGAGAACCCATGTGCTAGATTTGTAAATGAAAAAAATCATTGTTGAGACCATATCTATTATATTATGAAATTAAATATTTACTTTAATTTCAAATTCCTTGAACTGTTTTTCCCTTTCTTGTCTGTATTTTTCAATTTCATCTTGAGCTTCTTCTTTGGCCTGCTTTAAACGTCTTGCTTTACCTAGAAATAAGTAAAAAATAATATGCCATTATGCCAAAATCAAAATTGGGTGAGATACAGTGGAGTGAATATTTTTATATTTTAAAGCAATCATAAGACATTGAATTCAAAAATTAACTGAACAAATCCTTGGTTAAAAAATAAATGACAACCGAGAACATTTTAATAAATATAATCAATAGAATAAACAAATGCACCAGAGTTAAAATATCAAATCTAGATGTGCTAATTTAGTAGTACAACTTTTAGGTAGGCACTTCCTAAAAGAATAAAAATGTTTACTATACTCAAACCTGGTTGCATAGAACATAGATTGATTATTTATTACATTTTAAAGGGCCAATTATGAGCCACTAAATCAAGTTTAAGGGATTATTAACTCATTAATTGTTTATTAAATATTTAGTGATTGTTTATGTAACATGGCATCAGAATCTCAAACAAACACTGATTAAGCACAAGTATACTATTAAAACTGATTAAATATTATTATTATTGAGAACCCTAGTAAAAACCACGCCTAGATGTACTAAATACAAACGTTGATTTTATCCTAAGTGTATTTATACATCATAAAATAACTACCTATTTTGTTTAATAACTTGGAATGATATTATAGATTAAAAAAATATAGTATTAAATTTGAGATAATTGATTACAAAATACAAATTTTTAAAAAGTACAAGGTGTGGCTTTCGGTAAGCCCACCGAAATGATCATCAAAATATATAGGTACCTGCCTACTGAAAAAACCAGATTATAAAAACGAAAAACAATCGGCAAATTGTATTGAAACGTTCAACGTACAAGGTAATTAATATGTTTATTTTTAATTGGAAATTACCTAGTGCCTAATATCTTGTATCAGATGGTTATCAGCCACACCTTAAATTGTCGACTAGGTACTTACGTTTCTTGGCTTCGGCTACTTTTTCAGCAGCCCTCTTTTCGGCAGCCAACAATTGTTGGATTCCTTGAGTTTGGCTGGCCATCACGACGACTGATTAAAAACAATTTATTTTTTAAAACAATTTTCGTATTATGTAATACGGGAACGACCAGCAGAGATGAGCTGATGATATGGGAACTGGAACGCCTGCCGCCTAGTACATTACTTATCTGTACGTCGTACACTCGTACTACTGTATATAAAATAAATGGGGAATAGGCCATGGGGATTGGCGAAATAAATGGGTGTAGCCAACGTGCCAAGGTCTCAAAAAATAATCAGCTGACCACCGACTTGATGATTTCCTTTTGGATTACACAATCCATGGTTCATAAACAACTGTTATCACTTATCTGTGAACGTCGAACGATAACAACAACTGTCAACTACAGAACTTTGAACTTTCTGCGGTGTCGGCATCCGCTATCAGTACAATAGTAATTGGTAATTGGTAAATAAAAAAAAATTCAAAATATCCGTCTAGGCATTTCGGCTGGGAATTCTTAATAATTTAAAATTGGTAAATAATAATTCAAGGATAGTATTTCCGTTGTACAGTTAACAACTTAACCGTAGTATAGTTAAAAGGCAATTAGTGAGATAGGCCGAAGGTACCACATTTATAAATTATAATATTTATTTACTGTGTTGGCTTATAAGTTGGTATTCAGTTCTCCATTTTTAAAATATTAAATCCTCAAACATGTCATTTGAAAATCTGGCCAACGATCCGTTGTAAGTGTACACCATTTAGCTTATAAGGATTTATCTATTGCTCGAGTATATTTAGTAATAATAGATAATTAATTTGTTTTACTTTTAGTTTTGTTTCGGGATTAAAGCTGTTGAACAATGTCGATGACAAGAAGTTTGTTCGTTTGGTTGACAGGATGATACAAGATTTTGAACCCAATCGATTGTCTTCATTTACAGAACTTGAACTAGCATCCATGGAAAAATCTTTGAAATTGAACAATAACCAATGTCAGTGTTTACTGAATTGTTTAAACCAATTATTGAAAGAAGTTAATAAAAATTTTGTTTGAAAATCAAATAATTTCCTAAACTTGTATTTTAATAATTTATTTATTCAGGTTATAAGTGATGTGACAAAACCTTTGATACTAAAAAATGTGTTGTCTACACTATTTTCGTTAAATGGGAAAAAAGTTGAATTATTTTGTGAATGTTGGTCTACAAATGCTGAACAAGTTGTGTCTAGGCTTCAACAAAACTTTACTCATTCATACAGGGTAATTATAATTTTATTATATTTCATCAATGTATTACAAATTTAAACCATTTTTTTTATTAAGTTAAAGGACGTAAATTGGGCTTTGAATATTTCATCAAATGTTGGAATTGAATTATCTGATCCAGAACCTAGATGTTTAATAGAGTTAAAAGTTGAAGACAGCCAATATCATAATGAACCTAAAATCAAAGAAGTTATTTTGGATTTAAATGAAAGAGAGTTGAAGAATCTCTACGATACATTAGAAACAATTAAAGTAAAACTAGATTCACTTTCGGATTAATAAGGGTTAATTAGAATATATTATTAAATATTTGTATTTATTCTCTTTAATAATATCAACTGCAGTAATTACTAATTATATTAGTACAAGTATTAAGCTTTTATAACAATTTAGCCAACCATAGTTTATTATAATTTGTTGATTATTTATTTTATTTTTTTATCTATATAATTGTTATTTTATACTAATGATTTTATGTGTACAAAAATAAAAAAAATGTTTGTACACAAACTATAGAACTTATGGCTTATACCAATAGACAGAACTTAGTTATAGTTTCAATAGTAGAATAAGCTGCGCTGCTTAGGGTTGTCCCAGTAAACCACACAAGCACACTAGGAATATAAGGGATTGTTTCATTTAAAATGCCATCGTGCGTGTTACATTTTACAATATAAGGTAATTGTTTAGTATATTTAAGGATATAATGTTTATATATTAAATATTAATATTTTTTGTCCTAAAAATGGTATAAGACAATACATCCAAATATTTGATAGTTTCTCATTGTACTATGTCCATATTCTCCATAATTGTACTTTATCTTATTGTGCTTTAATAAAAAATATTTTGATCAACAGAATGCATCACTGTAGGCTCTGGTAGGCAAGTTCAGACTGGATGTTTGTCTAATGTTTATTAATTTATAGATTTATATTTATTTATTTAATAGATTATTTTGTCCTGCAAAATAAAATATTAAATAGTTGAATTTATTTAAAATTGTATATTATAGAAAATAGATTATTAATTCTAGGTACATAATATCAGAGGCTGATTTATTATGGGGAGTGTGTGGGGGAGGGCACATGGTGGTTATCCTCTTTAGGGCCAGTTGTATCGTCTACGGTTAAACTACGATTAAGCTTTATCAGCTGATAACAGATATTTAACCAGGCAAATTCTGCCAATTAAACTCCGGTTAACTTTAATCAGAGATGGTACAACTGGCCCTTAATCTTTTTTTAACGATTTATTTAAGTCTTCATTATTAGTTAAGTCTTCATTGTACTTTATATTATAATTTATAATATATCAATCATACATTTTCCTACTCCCCCCCCCCCCACCAGTGGCGTTTTTACCATGATTTTGAAGGGCAGTTGCCTGATAGTTTAAAGGAGTGTGTGGTTGGATGCCGAGTGGGTGAGTACTAAATTTAGTGAGAAATTGTAGTGCAAGCAGTGTTGGGAAAAGATAACCAAAGAATCATCTGGATAAGATGGCTGATAAATCATTCAAAATTTATCTAGATAAGATATAACCTCATTTTTTTTTATCTAGATAAAGACTCAAAATAATTTGTTAATTTTCGTGATTTTTCCATATTTTGTCAATTTTTGAATTTTAAATGCTTATAAAAAAAAAACTGTGACTAAGGATTTTTAATATTTTTCAAATGCCATTGTAACAATATAGTAGGAGCCTTGTATTAAATTTTCAAGTTTTTAGTTTTTTTAACCAACAAATAAAATTTTATTGACATTCATAGAAAAAAAAACTAATAAAATGGGAAACTGAAAATGTCCCTCTAAACAGTTCAAAATATTTTGAAAACTTTATCATGTATGGAAAATGGAAATATAAACCAGTGAAAATTTGTTTAAATTTGTCATTTGTTTAAAAGTTACGCCAAAAACCAAAGTCGATTTTATGAAAAATTTATATTTTAGTCTGTTTGTACATATATATTATTTAAAACAAGTTTAAAAGTATATAAAAAAAATAACAATCATATTAAACAAATTATAATAAATAAATACTATTATTTAATATTTATTTACGATAATTGCAACTCTTCATCGTTTGATAATGGCTCAAAATATTTGTCAATTATGTCATCTTTCACTTCTTCCAATGAAGCTGGACACCATTTTGGATTTCTATCTTTGTCAATCAACAATGCTCGGACTCCTGTAACAAAAACAAAAAAAAAATGAAAATTACTGTAATAATAACGAAAAATAAACGAAAATTACCTTCGTAAAAGTCGGTAGAATACTTGGCTTCCACGGACCTGTACGCCAGTCGGTGTTCCATTAGAAGACATTCGTCTAGACTGAGGTTTTTTCCTTTCAAAATCTCTTTTCGCGTAATTTTCAGTCCCGTGGGGCTGACCTCACTGAGCATTTTAAGCATCCCTTGCGCCCACTCCGAACCGTCTGTTCTCAGTGCGTCAACAATCGCTTCGACTCTCTCGTGGGAAAATATCGAATCAATTTTTTCGACAAACGGTGCCATGGTGAACTCCACGGCGTCCAGATCGTCCGTGTTTTCCGCGAGTACGGTGCCCGGGTCCCGGACGTCCTCGATCAGCTTGGCCCGGAGACCGTCGATCTTCGAACTGTGCACGTAATGCGTGGCGATACCAGCCTTGGCCACGTCGCTGCCCTTCAGCCTGCACCCGGTCAAGCCCAACATGACGCCCAGGTGCTTGTCCATCCTGGATAGAACGTGACTGGCACCCACGTCACAGAACAGCCCGATTGCAGTCTCCGGCATGGCGAACAGTGTCCTCTCGGTGGCCACCCTGTACTTGCCGTGCACGGATATGCCAACGCCGCCGCCCATCGTGATGCCGTCGATCAGCGAAACGTACGGGATCTTGGACTTTCCGATTATGCTGTCCATCGAGTATTCGTACCGGAAGAAGTTTTTGCCAATTTCCAGTGACTTAGCGCCCGGGCCGTTCTCTGTGATGGATTTCACGTCGCCACCAGCACAAAACGCCTTGCCGCCGGCTCCCTGGATGATCACCATCCTCACCAGCGATTCGTACTCCTTGAGTTTCGGTTTGATCTTGACGACCATCGACGTGTTGAGGGCGTTCAGCGCTTTCGGCCTGTTCAACGTAACGATGCCCACGTCGTTTTTGACTTCGAATAGCACGTCGTCCATGCAGGCGGTTGAAAGATTTCGTCGTCTATAGCCCAACAAACGTGTCGAAAACCCGAGGCGAGTCGAACAAATCATCTGCAAAAAGATAGTTAGAAGTTAAATATTTAACAAATTACATTATTTTGTAAATTGTAAGTAATAGGTAACGCGCAGTTTAATTATTGTATGCATATAGATTGGTATTTAAAATTTAAATACATTATATTAGAGATATAGGTACGTACCTAGGTATTAAAATAATTACAAATATAGATTAGAGACAACAAAATGTGGTTACAGATAATACTTTTTTACTAGGTATTAAATAAAATATAAGAGATTAAGAGAAGCGAAGACTCCACAACTGCTTAATATGTTGTATCCATCTTACAAATACGCAAAATGTACAAATTAATACAATAGGTACTTAGCGTTAGCAAATTTGCGTTAGGTAAAAATAGTAAAATCAAATTTTTGTTGTTAGGTACCTAACAACAGTTAGATTTAATATTAAAGAGAATCGACACAATACAAATATATAATATTCAAAGTTTGTAGGTTTTAATTAATATTTTAATTTTAAATCGATTTATGAGTTTCTGAGCAATTTATTGTCATAAAATATATTGTTGGTTATGGCGTTTTCAAGACCTCAAACATATTGTATCTATCAAAGATATTATATTATAATTATAGGTACTAGTGTACTACCTATTATTATGCTGCATAGCCGAATATATATAGGTACTATAAAACATAGGTACTTACTACTTAGATAACAAACATTTATTAGTCAAATATAGTGTCCTAATTCTTACAAAATATTTTTAAAATAACAAAATATTATTAACCAAACTAAATGTTAATTTTGTTAAGGGGCCTTTACATTTTGTTTTCTCTGTCTTAGAAGTGCGTAACATAGCAAATTTTACGCTCAGCAAAACACGTTTATCTCCCGTTAGTTTAAAAATTAGAGTGAATTTACCTCTTATAAAATTTAAAGGTAAGATTATTATCTAGACATAGGCTTTTTATTATAATTTAATTTTAAAGCGAGTTATGTGTATTTTAAAATTGTAAACTGTTTGTACATCTTAAAATACTCATAACTCGCTTTAAAATTAAAATATAATAAAAAGCCTATGTAATTGTCTAGATAATAATCTTACATTTAAATTTCATAGGAAGTAAATTCGCTCTAATTTTTAAACTAACGGGTGATAAACGTGTTTTGCTGAGCGTAAATTTGCATGTTACGCACTTGTAAGACGGAGACAACAAATGTCACTGTAACGTCCCCTTAATAGGCTTAATACCAATATTTATGTAAATATAAATTTTTGTAGTATCCATTTTACCTTGGTTTTATGTGACAAACGTTGGAAATATTCTTCATAGTATAGTGTTAAGTTTTAAGTATCGTTTTTACCATAACTAAGAGGGTGCGTAAAATTCTTAAAACATTTCTTCAGAACCATATTTAAGCATTTTAACAGTTACATATTTTATCCCGAACCGTATTTAATCCGAATTTCGAATGGCGAATAGTATAATACACCGTAGACTTATTAATATATTATATATGGACTGAGAGTCCCCCATAATCCTTATTATTAAAGTGTGCTTCAGCTCCAAACAAAACTCAAACCTTATTTCCCACTATGGCCTTTGTACACCAACACTATACAGATGACAAACATTTGGAACAAACTATTAGTTATTTGTTAGCAAAGTCCAAAGTGTAATAATTTGAAAAATAATATAATATATTATGGAAATTAAAATTGAATTTGGTTTTAGTCTTTTAGACATGTTTTTCAAATATTTGTAAACAATTTAACAATTTTCAAATATAACTTATTAGTTATTTACTAAAAATACATTGGCCAACATTTTACTATTTTACATAGAATTTCAAAGTATCCTTTATTGGCTTTATTTATCATCAGAGAAGTCACAAACTAGAAATTCACTAAACTAAACCGGTTTAAAATAATTATCCCACACCTTGATAATGAATTATGTAAATGATATGGTCCAAACATCCCGGTGCATTATTTTTCAAACTGGTTTAGTCTAACGAGTTTCTAGAACATCTAAGGGATGGTATTTTATTAGAAAGT